AACATGAACGTATCAACTTCTTCACGGATCTTTTGATTCGAATGGAAAGTAAATAATGTCAAGAATTAACTAAAAAATATTTTTAAAAGTAACATTTTGTAAAAAAAACCAACAAACCTCAAGATCGGTGAGCGGTTTGCCTTCAATGGTTGCATTCAATAGCAGATCCAAGAAAGCGAGTTTTTTTCGAATACCAACGGATTCATTCTCCTCTTCCTCCTGAGTACTGCTGCCATTTGTGTTAATGTTATTTTTTTGTGTTAACAATTCCTGTCGTCGTTTTTGTATTACATCATCAGTAAATCCGTGCAGGACACGCAGAACTGCTGCCTGTTGTTTGGCCATCTTTGATTGTTCGAAAAATAATGGATACCGAAGTATGAAATCCAATGCGCGAGTTTGCACTAAACAAGAAATTCTATTTGAAACACAAACGAAATAAAGTCATTAATGTTTCATTGCAATTGTGTAAGAGAAGGATAGTATGTTTGATCGTCTCCATTTGAACTCACTCTTTGACTGCCTTAACATATTCCGAATTCGGTTGCGAAAGAGCATCAATGCTAACACCCATTGCGGTTTCTGTATTATACAAATAAAAATGATTTTATATTATATTTTGTATGACGTCATTTCCGCATTTTTTTTTTCACTTAATAAAATTACTCACCACACATCACATCCAAGGCATACAATACAGCGATAGGATAAAATTCCACATCGTCGGCAACATCGTATTTTTTCAATTTGTTCACAACTGTGTTGCCCAGACGATCGAAAACTTCAACAAACTTCTCCAAAATATTGAAATGAAAAGCCGGCGTTATCACTTTTCTGCGATCGTGCCATTTTTTGCCTGCAACTCGCAAATGTTAGTAATTTACATAAAATTGTGCTGATAATCAGCTATCGATCATTGATTTTTATTACCTCCGCTAAGTAGTAATCCTTCGTTTAGCCACGGTCTCACAAACTTATACTCTGTTGACTTTTCAATATAGCGAGGATTGCTTAGTAGAATCTTAAAATAGAGAAAAAAGAAAAGAAGCATAGTATCGGGAATCTAACAGCAAACTAATTATTTGTTTCTAACTAAATTATTCAGGTGGATTCATTTGAGTTGCAAGATGAATGTTGTTATTATTGTTTATAATTATCGTGATTAAAACTTGTTTCTGGTGGCTTCTTGTTTGTTTGAAATTTAAATGAAGCAAAATCGTTCAAAGTGCATTTCCAGTTTTCTTGACTTGCGACGTCAGTTTATAAAATGTAAATTAGACGCTTATTTAATTGCAGCAAACCGACATTATACCACATTGTTTATTTAAAACAAAAATTGTTGTGGCTTTTGTTTCTACAATAAAATTGTCCAAATATGAAAGATGGAAGTAAGAGTTGCAACCATTTTTACGAAAACTACGCAACATATTTATGAGTGACATCAATCTGGTGATCTCTACTAGTTTTGAATATTTTAAGCTGTATCACGATGACTTTGTACTTTTTGAGCATGTTAATCACGAAACTTTCGTGTATAAACCGAATAGTCATCGTCATAAATAATACAATTTTTGTTGATATCACAGTAAAATTTGTAAAAATACGAATCGATGTTTTAAATGTTTTCTATCGAAATTTGGTCGATAATTTTGGAAACATCCATTATTGTAAATATCAAGTAAATGTCAAAGTTATTTTTGAAATGTCTGAAATTTGTAAGTTGTTTTAATCCATAGTGTGAATTCTCCTCAAAACTGGTCGAACCCTATTTACCTAAATAAATGGAATTTTACCGATGTCTTATGGCAAATACGAAAATTGTCGTTTATGTGCATTATTGAATTGTTTATGATTGCTTACCTCGACATCCTTTGGATTGGAAATAAGTATATTCAATTCTGGGCCAAACCATACGCGAACGAAATCGCCATAATTCTTTACCAAATTATTAAGGTTCTCGAAATTCTCTGTTTAAAATATGATAATGATTTTAATTAGTAAAAGTGGTTTTTTACTTTTTCCCAATAAGAAATAAAACAATAACAAACGCTGACGTTATTCAAGACACTCTGATAAGATCTAGACTACATCTTATCTGGATAGTTGAAAATTTGACTATTTTATCTTTTATAAATTTAGAAAAAATGAAATAAAATCTTTTTTTGTCAGTTTATGGATTGTTTAAATTGATACGTCGTTAAAAATTGATTCACATTTCGAAAGAATGCTGACTCAAAGTTATTTAGACTGCCATAAAAGGAACTGATATTGTAACTAGCGTACCTGCCGATGATTTGTTTAAAAACATTAATCCATTTCCAATTAATGGCAATGCTGGTGGACCATTAATTTTCAATGATAAATAAAATGCATGCACTTTTTCATTGTGGAATAACACAATGTATGCAATAATTATCGCCAACAGTAAACACAAAAACAAAAACATTTTTCACCTTTCACAAGTGAATCGATCAATACAAACGAAAATCAATATTTTTTTAATTTATTCGAATGTTGTACCATAGTCACAGCACTGATAAAATATGAACTAATCGCACCGAATGCCAACTATCAACTAAAAATGAATCGCATAATAACAAATGTATTTATAATTTTGTGTGCGCATACAATAAACTTTAGTGACTAAACGGTTTAAGTGTATTAGTGAAATTTACAAGATGATATTTTATGTGTAAATGTGAATGGATGAAACCCGCTGAAGCGTGTCTCTTTCGGAGTTCTATACAAGAATGCTAGTCAAATGTCTGTTTCAAATTTTTATTGTTTTCATAGTGAAATCATATTGCTTGTTGTCTACGTCTATTCCTATGTATTTCATGGTTTATTGATATTTCATTTCAAACCGAGAATAAAGCAATTAAAGCAAACATTTAATATACATAAAAAAATTAACCCATATGTAATGAATAAACGACAAATGGAAATTAATACGCGCAATTTTGCTTCAATTGCACATTTTTTCATGTTCATTATAACTCGCCTTTCAAACCACGTAATCGAAAGTTGAACGGATTGTGACGTTAATTTTATAACATATACATATGCAAGACAAAACGAGACACGTTTTGCCGTGTGCACCATGCAATGACCCATCAACGATGCTTTTCAATCGAAACGGAAATTAATTGCCAAATAATTCATTTAGGGTTCGTGATGTCTTCACCTTTTTGTATAATACAGCTTCCAGTCAAATAAATGTGAATTCATACGCCTAAATTTATACAACATATACATTTCGTTTAAAATCAAATCGTATAACGTAAATCCAAATTGTTTTAATTTTGCTTTTGTATGTGTTTATTAAATAGATTCTTTTCATAAATTAAATATTGTTAGTATACTCTGGGTTTAAGTTGAAACTTGATAGAGTTTTCTGGCCGTAAAATGAGTTCCGCTGTAAGAGTAGGAAATGCGCTACTTTCTTCAGTTAGAGTCAATTCAAAATTGCGTAGAATTTTCGACACGATGCTTTTAATCTCATACATGGCAAACTTTTGTCCGATACAATTTCGTGGTCCGGCTGAAAATGGAACATAAATGAATGAGCTTTGTTTTTCTGCAGTCCGTTCAGCCAAAAATCTTTCTGGTTTAAATGCATCGGCGTCTTCGAAATACTTTTCATTGCGTTGTATTGTGTATATTGGAACAAGGACATTCGCACCGGTTGGAATAATTCGATTTTGGGCTAAAAATATTCAAATGCATACTTTATATTCAACAAAAAGTTTAAGAAATTTAAAGAAAGAAAAACTCACTCAATTCGATGTCCTGCATGGCAATGCGACCAATGAATGGAACCGAAGGGAATAAACGCAACGTTTCTTTTATAACTAATTCTAAATAAGATAATTGGTTTAGTTTTGAAATCGTTGTTGGCTCTTTTGTATCCGATCCAAACACAGTAGCGATTTCATCGAAACATTTTCTTTGAACTTCCGGGTGTTTTGCTATATTGTACAAACAAAACGTGATACCTGAGGTAGTCGTATCGTGACCCTAATTTCCAAAAACCAATCCAAAATTAATATTCGTGCAAGCCAAAGTGTCATTATTTAAAGAATCACCTCAAACATGAACGTATCAACTTCTTCACGGATCTTTTGATTCGAATGGAAAGTAAATAATGTCAAGAATTAACTAAAAAATATTTTCAAAAGTAAAATTTTGTAAAACAAACCTCAAGATCGGTAAGCGGTTTGCCTTCAATGGTCGAATGCAATAACAAATCCAAAAATGCTTCTTTCTTACGAATGCCAAGGACCTCGTATTCTCCATCCTTTTGGTCACCGTTTTCGTTATCACTCATCTTATACTCCAATAACTCTTGCCGTCGTTTACGTATTACATCATCAGTAAATCCGTGCAGTACATGCAATGCACCTTCGTGTGTTTTTGCCATTTTAGAATGTTTGAAGAGTGAGTCGAATCGAAGTGTAAAATCATGCATACGAGTGTGCACCACATAAGCGATACTAATTTAGATAAGCACGAAATAAAGTAATTTAAATGACAATGAACCGCAAAGATCAAGGGGAAATGTAATTAATAAAAAAAATGTAACCGTCTCCATACGAAACTCACTCTTTAACTGCCTGTACGTATTCTGAATTTGGCTTCGAAAGAGCATCAACGCTAACACCCATTGCGGTTTCTGTTAATCATATTATATTGCACTTTTTTAGATTGAAAAATCGAAAGCAATCCGAAAGAATTCAAGAAGGCATAACCAACATACGCACCACACATAACATCCAATGCATACAATACAGCGATAGGATAAAGTTCTACGTCATCGGTGACTTCGTACGTTTTTAATTTGTCTACAACCGTATTGCCCAGACGGTCGAAAACTTCAACAAACTTCTCCAAAATGTTGAAGTGGAAAGCCGGTGTTATCGCTTTTCTGCGGTCGTACCATTTTTTTCCTGTGTAAGTGAAGTGTTCGTTATCACTTTTTCAATAAATCTAAATGAAGCATATGTGCACGCGCAGAGATAGCTTTGCACATTCTTCTTTTGACATGCTGTTATAATCGTCCATTTACCTTTGCTCAATAGGAGACCCTCGTTAAGCCACGGTTTTAAAAAATTATACATTGTCGATTTATCGATATGGCGCGAACTGCTTAATAGAATCTAAATATATAAATTGCAATAGAAACAACAAATCGATAATAAATGTCATTTACTTCATAGCAACGAGCAATTCATATATGTGATTATCATCTACTTACCTCGATGTCTTTTGGATTCGAAATGACAACGTTCAGCTCGGGTCCGAACCAAATTCGAAAATACTCACCATGTGCTTTTAGTATTTTTAGAAAAATTCCAAATATTTCTGTAGGCAAAAAACCATGATCATGCACTGGATGCTTCAATGATTGTTTTATTTAAGAAATACCTGCTGAGGAATCGGTCCAAAACATAAATCCATTGCCAATGAGTGGAAGAGCTGTTGGTCCATTGATTTTCCACGATAAACGAAACGCATGAATTAAAGTGTAATGAAATCGAAGAAAATAAATGAGACTTAATGTCAAGAACACTACGAGAAACACCAACATCTCTTCTCAATCCACAAATCAAAAATCAAGTTCAATCAATTATTATCAACTTTTGAGCTTACAACACAATAGATTTTGACGACAAACTGAAAACGAGTCAAGAGACTGTCAAAATTTCATTCTTTCGGTGTTTTATATGGGCATCCACGATAAGGTTCTCATGTGTATTGCTCACACAACTTGTTTACATGTTGTTTTTGAATTTTAACTCTATTTTTATTTTGTTCATTGCTTGATATTCGTAATCTTTAAAGAAACCAATCAAAACAAAAAAAATGCTGACAACAGTCCACAGCGGAAATATTATTTCGTGAGTGAAAAAAAAAGATGATTTCTTGGATTTGAGCATTTTTACAAATTTGGAGGTCCATTCAAAACTACGCCAAACATTCTTTACGATATACTACTACTCTAGTAACACGCGGAAATATTTGTGATTAAACCAAGCATTCAGAAAGAGATACATCAATGCGATGGATTGAATGATGATTGCATCGTTCAATCCGTATCGTCTAACGCAAACACACCGCTGAAATACACGTACCAGTTAATGTTAATGGTAATAAAAACAATCACGTCGTACGCTGTCAGATCCGAATGCACAGCACTCGCAAGGCATTTGCGTTATACGATGCACTTGAATGAGACAAGCATCATTCAATCCTTCGAATTGATGTATATCTTTCTGAATGCTTGGATTAAACGATTGTTTGGATTTGTTTAATTTTTTTGCCGATTCTATTTTCAATTTGTCGTAATCAGCTGTAAATTCATTGAATGTCGCAATTGACTCTAGAATTGGATTAAAGTACATCTGACGTATTATATTTTATTTACAATTTCTATCATATAATCAATTGAATCATTTCAATTTCATTAATGCTTACACTGCGTAACTTACCCATTTCTGTGCTCATTTTTTTCGATTGTTTTCATACTCGTAAATTTCGGAACGCAGTTTTTATCAAAATACTTCAGAAAAAAATGTCGAATGATAACCTTCTCGCATCGACAAGACTTCCTTGTACTATATTTTACACATTTTAAAAATGAAACCAGTTACAATGACAATGCTCAAACATTTTATTATTTTGACTTTGTGATTTGAAATTGACAATGCTTGCCTTGGCAATTAGACTCGTGACATAATAACTGAAAGCACAAGACAAGTAAACATTAAATAGAATACTCTTTGAGTGCGAATCAACTTTATTTCGATATCTCCAGACACCATAATCGTTTGCTACTCAAAAACTGACACGGACGAATTAACGGTTAACTGCCGAACGTGTGCTTGTGTTTTCATTTATTAATTAAGTTATTTCTTAAACAAAGTAAAAAAAACTCATGTAATCTGTTTTTATTTTGCCAAAACAAAGGCAACAATACAACAATAACAATATTCACAAAAAAGCGAAACGTGCTGAAGTTCATAAGAATATTGACAATATTTTGACAAATAATACTGATTAGGTATTGTATATTGTTATGTATTCGAACTTCATTGTGCGAATTTTGATTTATCAAGGCTTTGTTTGTTGGTTGGCTCTATAAAGCCTATAGGCTGTACGGAAATATTGAATTTTATTGTAATTAGCACCAGTCTTCTTCATCTAAATCATAGTTTCGACTGACTATTGTCGATCTTTGGCGATTGAGTGATGTCGATGCAAATGAACGGCCAGTTCGGCCCATAACCATTGCATCTTCGAATGACATTGGTGTGTCAGCTTCTACCTCAAGACTAAAATAAAGAAGAGAAATTATTTTATCGTTTTTTAACTTGAGTTGAATCCATTTTCACAAACCGCTCTTTTTCCAGTTCACGTTCAAATGCCACTTGTCTCTCATATAATTCTCTTTCTTTATCGCGAAAACGCGGATAATTTACTTCATCGAAACTTTCACGTCGAATTGGATTGTTATTGTTAAATGTTGCACTCCAAGAATGAGGGAATGCATGAACACTGTGTGGTGTAGCCATTGATCGTTTTCTTTGCCTGGAATACTAAAAATATAGTGTATAAGTATTGAGTGTTTTAAGAAAATCTCTCATTTACATACCCGTGGTGTACTCGAATGCAAATCAGCGTATTTAATTTCTGTTTCTGGGATTTGTAAAATGGATGGTTTATTTGGTGTTGCGGGCAAAACTCGACCACGACCACGTCGAGCATGTAACACTTGATAACTTTGTTGATAATCTTAATGGGAAATTCGACTTAGACAAAATAAAAGAAAATTTACATTTTTCAATAAAAAAAAATACCTCTGAAATGAGTTGATTTTGAGTGAGAAGGACTTGGCGAACGAGATCTTTGCTGTAAACTTGTTGTGCCATAGCCATTTAATCCAGCATTTGAATTTCTCGGTGATGGAGAACGCACTGGACTTGATGTTGTCGACCAAGATCCTTTAACGATAAAAGTAGTATTATTATATCTTGACTTCAGCAATAAAAAAAAGTGGGAGTCACCTCTGTATCTTGTATGCATATTATGTCGATAACGATGACGGGTGTTGCGTCCTTCTTTAACAAAGTCGACGAAATTTGCAACCGTATCTGATAGTGCAATGTCTTGAGAAACAGTGCTGTGTCGGTGCGGGGATCGCATGTCCCTATGTGAATCGGGTATTTGAAGATGATTTCTTGTATGATTTCTTGTATGATTTCTCCTATGGTCTTCTCCAACAACGGCACCGAGTGTCTATTTTATAAATATATTATTCATTATTTTTATGCAAAACAAAAGATAAACTCAATAAAATTAGCTGTTGTTATATGTAAGGTGGTGAAAAAAGTGCTTTTGTAATTGAACATGCAGTAATTGAATAAAGTGCCATATAATTTTTGAGTGAACCGATTCTCTAAAATTCTTACTGCGGTTTTACCTGTTCTTTTCTGAAATAAACAAGAGTGTTTTGTTAATAGGATCCATTCTTCAAATCGTTTCACCACTTAGCATTGAGATCCACTCCGCCCACTTTAGAGCGAAACAATATATAAACTTACCTGTTACGTTTGCGTCGTTTCTTTTCCTGTTTTTCCTGGGTTGCGGCACCCAATATGCATCCAAAAATACTTTTCTACATATTTTGAAACCATTCGAGCAAAAAAAAAACAGTACATGTGCAATGAAATTTATCAACTAGGTGAGGTAAACAGGATGCGAAATATACTACTAAATAACGTGTCAAAACAGTAGATCATTGAGCTATCTAAGCCGAAATACTAGTGGTGCTTGAAATTTATATTTTATAGAACCAAATGAATGATGCGTGAAAAGAAAATCAATACTAAATTACTAACCCCAAAGCGACTTTTTCTTTTTCCAAAACGTGTGCTCCTCCATGATTCTAGAATTAAAAGACCACCATAAATTTTTCCAACAGTCAAATTGTGTTTGTTGAGCATCTCAATTCGTGGCACGAGTAAGTCCATCATTTTTCGTGCTTGTAATGGCCAAATCATTCGAATCGTTTCACGCAATTCTTCGTCAGCAACATCCATTTCTTCGGCTGCAATAGATTTACATTGAAAAAGACACGCATGTTTTTGCACATAATCACCTCTCTATTAGACTTACCACCTCTCATTTTTATCGATAGATTTTCTCGAATCAAAGCAAATAGAGTTGTTGTAAAATTCACTTTTTTATCATCATCTAGTGGCATGTTCATCCGCATGAGCTTCTTGTACGCAAGACGGTTTGGACATTTATTTCCGAAACCCAAGGGTGGAGCGATATTTTTCAACATATCATACATTTCGGTGTAGTGTATTTTGCCACTGAAATAGAAATTATATTTTAATATTGGTTTTCAATCTCTCATTTGGAGTTGATAAATTCGTACTCAGCCGCTGGATCGTATTGGCCCCATATGCGCACAAACTCATCCAAATGATGTGCTCCCAAAATGCTCGTGTCTCTCGTTAAATAATCAAAATTATCCATAATAACAGCAACAAATAGATTCAACATCTGCAAAAACCACACATCAACAATTAAACATACCAAATAATAACGACATTTAGTTTCTAGCAAAACGAATAAACTCCGTACCAAAAACGAACATAGAAATATGAATGAAACAAAGTAACCAAATGCCAATGGGTAACCACAATATCTATTTCCATTTTCACAATCTGATTTAACACATGATATCATTATATTATTCCATGCCTCTCCTGTTGCACACCTGATGAAATTGTTTAAAAAATGTCAATTTATTTGAAAAATTCATAGCACTTTTCATTGAAAGGTTTACCGAAAAAGCAGCATAAGTCCACCAAAAAATGTTCGGAAGTTATTGTGTCGATTGATGTCCGTCTCTGAAAATATTGATTATGAATATTTTTATTCAAAAAAATAGATAAATTATGAGATGAAACGTAAAATGTGATGAAAGTAGTAGTACCTGGGTCGAGAATGATCTGCCCAAAAACCTAATTTTTATTTAAAAATTAATACAAGATTTTTCAATTTTTTCTACCAAAGATTCATTTCGAAGTTTTTATTCTAACCTGCATTCCAATGATTGAATAGATAAAAAATAGCATCGCAATGAGTAAACAAACGTATGGCAAAGCTTTAAATGATTGAACAAATGTCCATAGTAATATTCTAATTGTGTCCCCTTGACGCAGTAGTTTGATCAATCTAGCCGCTCTAAACAGTCGCAGAAATCCCAAATTCAACGTACTTGCCTGCAAATGGAAAAAGAATTAATGAAGTATCTATACAAAAAAATGCTAAAACGTATCGCAGCGAGGGATATAAATGATAGCCAGAAGGTAATTTGGAGGGGGCCGGAGAGGTAGCATTTATAAAACAATTGCAATGAGCGCAAAACGTGTTAAATGCCAATTATCTACACATTTTTAAATAAATCATCAATTGCTAAATGATCAAAGCCTGATGGAAGTCAACTACAACGGAAACTTTGCTAAACAAAAACTATGGAATCTTGGTAGGTAATTTTCAGAGCTGTTAACTTCTGATGAAGCTAATGAAGCTAATACGAACCACCCACTGAGTAAAACTATTATAGATATTTATGTCACCCATTGCTGTCTAAAAGTTTGAATGAATTATTATGATTAGAGAATACATATTATCGAAATTGAAACATTCTTTTTTTCATCAAATATGTTAGAAATAAATGCCAACTGATTTCAGAATTACCTTTTGTTTATTTTTGTCCTATAATGAAAAAAAAAAAATCATATTAATTTTCGTTTAAAATTTTTAAATGATCTGAAAAGTACCATGTCTGATACGATTGCATCGATGATGCTACCGACAACAGTGATAAAATCAAATATGTTCCAGGCGTCTCTGAAGTAATTCTATACAGAAATTTGTTACATAGATTAGCTTTTCGCTTCAATATTTAAACTTTAAAATCATTATTACCTTAATACCAAAACCAAATATTTTCAAAAGTGCTTCAATGGTAAATAAACCAGTGAATACCTTATTTATACCTCGCAATATATCATCGTACTTTTCGTTTTGTCCATGATATTTCATCATTAATAGCACAGTATTTAACACAATTAATGCCATGATGACGTAATCAAATGGTGGCGAAACAACCATTTTCCAAACTTTATATTTATACTTTTTGCGCTTCGGTGGGATATAAGTGGCGAAAGGTCGCGCGTTAATTGCAAAGTCGATGCATGATTTCTGTTCACAAAATGTTTATCAATGTATCAATTTAAATGAAAACCAATTATAATCCAGTCATATGCACCTGATTTTTATCAATTCCACCATCTTGCAGCTCAGATTCGCCCTGCTCTTGAAATGTTATTATAATCAATGCAACGAATATGTTGACGAAGAAAAATGGAAAGACGACGAAATAAACAATATAGAATATGGACATTTCCAATCGATAATTTTGAATGGGTCCTTGATCTTCAGAGCTTGCAGCCATCGAATTTCTTAATACAGTCGGCCAGCCTTCTGTTGTTTGGACTGCGAATAAGGTTAGCATGGCAGCTGCTACATTATTATAGTGGAAATCTTGTATTTTCCATTCTCGATCTTTTTTCTCGGGTAAGAATTCACCTTTGCTAAATTCAAAATAGCTTCCCCTTTTTTGTGTGAATAATCAATTAAAATGAACTTCGGTAGTTTCTAAATGTTTATTTTGTTGCAAAATGGCGAGAATTTGCTTACCGACACGTTTCAGCGGTGTTCATACTTGGATCAGTGCAATAAAAGAATTTGCCGCTGAATAACTGAACGCCAATTACGGCGAAAATGAATTGGAATAATAAATAAACAATCAAAATGTTTACGACATTCTTAAGCGATCCAACTACGCAATCAAAGACGGCTTTCAATTTCGGGATTCTTTTGATGGTTTTCAATGGTCTCAAAACACGAAGAACACGCAACGATTTTATTGTGGCCAAATTTTGTCCTATGCTTCCACCACCATCACTATACAAAATGGAAAAGCATGCAAATCCAAATGTGACATGGAATATTAACGATTAGGATTTTCTTGAAAGAAAGAAAAAAAACTCTTTGTCATAAATTAACACCTACAAAAAACTAAATCCGAAACTGAGTAATGCACAAACAACTACAATTGCATCCATTACATTCCAGATATCACGCAAATAGCTCCCGGGATGGAATAACAAACCCAAATCGATAATCTTCAGAAACATTTCCACCGCAAAAACAGCGGTGAACGCATGATCGAAATTATTAAGGATTTGGTTTCTTGACGAATGTTCTAAATTCAGAAATTAATTATTTGAATAATTATTATCGGACCATAATAATATCTAGATGCTGAAGATCTCCTGAGAATAGGTGCTTGTTTGTGCATGTTTTTGTACGCGTATCAATCAAAGCCTGCCAGCATTTTCGTACAATATACACAAGTTGTGACATATGCATCCAATATCTGCTATTTCCAGCAACTATTTTCAGGAGAGATTCTCAGCATCGTCTATAGACTATAGTCATCTAGTGTGAGCTATGATCTGATTATTTTATTAGAACATTTCTTCATTGATAGAAAAAAAATCACCATCTACAGGATCCTCAGCCGCCAAAGCCATTGACGATAAGCCAATGATTAACATTATAAAAAAATCAAAATACTTTAAATTTACTATCCAATGAGCTGCACACCGAATTCTGTTTTGAATTTAAAAAAAAACATACAAAAATAGAAAATATTGCAAAGTTAATTAAAACGGAATTGTGTTTACGAATTTGTTGATGAAAAAATGAACAGTGATGAATAAGGAAGCATAGGTTTTGGTCCCGTTTCATCTATTGGGATTTCTGCTTTGGGTTTAGTTCGAGTTTTTTTCGAAATTGCAACCGTTGTGATATTCTCCGGTTCGGATTTTCCAGCTTTGTCGGCGTTCAGTGCTTCCATTTCCTTTTCCAATTCTTGAAGTTGTTTGTCTCGATCTTCTTCTTCTTTCTCCTCTTCAGCGGCCGTTAATTCCTGTGCGTTTGCCAAATTATCGACAGCAATAGCCAGGAACACGTTCAATAATGTATAGTTACCGAAGAGCGTCAAGATGATAAAGTATCTGTAAAATGTTGTGATGTTTTGGCACACAAACGAATAATTTATAATCGAATTGAGAAATTGCATATGAACAAGGCTTACGATGAATAAATCATGTTATAATATGATTTTTGTGATACGATTCCTTGGTACATCACCTCGTTCCAATCTTCTCCCGTCAATATTTGAAACACAGTTAACAACGAAGTACCAAACGTATCAAAGTTGGCTGCTGGTGTGCCCGAATCAAAATTAAAAGCTCCACCAAATATTTGCATTCCCTTTTTTACAAAGAACAATAAATGAATAACATTTTCAAGGTTTTTACAATCAACCACTAAATTGCTTACCAACATTGCGAAAATCATAATGAACAAAAAGAGAAGGAAAAGTAACGAAATAATCGATCTCATTGAATTCAGCAATGATATCACAAGATTTCGCAGTGACGACCAATATTTGGTGACTTTGAAAATGCGCAGCAAACGAAGTGCACGTAACACAGACAAACCGAAGGAGTCACCTTTCCATTCTGTCCAAATGATTTCGAACACAGAGGCAAATATTACGATGCAATCAAATCGATTGAAGGCCGATTCAAAGTATTTTCGCGGTCGAATCGCATAAATTTTAAGGCACATTTCCGAGATGAATAGTCCAAGAAAAATGAATTCCGTATAATCTAATTGTGAGAAAAGATGCCAAATAATCAATATGGATGATTGAAATGAACTATTATGTAAGTAAATACGTACCCAAAAATCTCTTTAACCATTCAGGTTGGCCATAGTGTTCTGAAGCTACAAATGCCGTATTTAAGAACACCAAAACAATCACAGTCCAATAAAACCACTGCGTTTTTACCATGCGTCGAATTCGAAAACGAAAACGTTTTTCAACAATCCAAAAACTACCTTCACGCTCTGACTTACTCTTTCGTAAGCTTGAAACTACAATAAATATGAATGATAATTAATCTTCGTAGCAACGGTGAATTGATTCACTTACATTCATCTTCGTAAGCACTTTCATCCTCCGTATCCGTGGATTTTGATTTGCCGGCCAGTTTTAATTTTCGCTTTTTGGCTGCACGACGTCGACGCACTGCATAGACATTTTTTTATTTTCATTAAATTTCAATAAATTATTTAAAATTTCCAATTTGACGCACCGTCTAAAATATGCATTTTTTCTTCATCGGTTGTTCGGTCCTCTGCCAAAATTGTCTCTTCTGCCTTGCAAATCCAATCAACGTAACCATCAAGCTCTTTTTGAACCTGTTGTCGTCGCCGAAGTTTTAAAAACTCTTGTCTATTCTCCACTTTTTCTCTTTCTTTTGCAAATTCGCTACAGATGCAATATGTAAATTGTTTTAGAATTGCACGAATTGAGACAATTACAAACGTAAAAAAAATGAATATCTCAAATCTCACCCGCTTAAAACACCAAGAATTAGATTCAACATAAAAAATGAGCCCAACACAATTAATGGAATAAAATACAACCAATTGTACTGAGGACCAACTGCATCATCGAGCCAGTACATAATTGGAGTCCAACCTAATTGAAAAAAAAAAGCATTTTTGACAATTCGACATTTCTTTCGTCAATTTTAAATGTTAACCTTCCATAGTGATGCACTGGAAAACTGTGAGCATTGCAAATCCGATATTATCAAAATTTGTAATTCCATTATTTGGTCCTTTCCATCCAGGTAAGCATAATATTGTGTTGTCTTCTGAACACGGATTAGCTCCGTATTTTTTTTCCATATTACACGGAACCTCTTTGCCGCCTTCTTCTTCAATTTTATCTATTCACAAATCAATTCACAAATTCACTTAAAATCGTTTTTCTTTTGATTGAGTTTGAATTCAAAAACAAAATAAATAAATATTTTATATAAAATAACGTACACGGTTTGTATGTGATGTTGTAGCATGTATTATGCATGACGCCTGAGTAAAATTCTAAACCGATTATAGCAAAAATGACAATGGCGAATAACACTAATAGTCCAATTTGGAGGAGTGGTGCCATTGCTTTTAATATTGAAAATAAGACCACTTGCAGACCTACGATATAATAATTAAAACTGATCAAACAGATTTCATTCAAGTCAAATGATTATCACGTACTTGGTATGCCAGAAACAAGTTTCAACGGACGCAGGACTCGTATGGCTTGTAAAGTTTTCAAATCGATCATGGAACGAAGTGCCGGAAATAGAGCCATAATTCTAATCATGAAATTGTAATCAATTTAATCAATTCGAAACGGTTCTGCGATGCAGAGCATTGTATAATTGTAATTGATTTGCACTTACGCTGTAACAATGATAATGAAATCCATGATATTCCACGCGCTTCTGAGGTAGGAGTTTCTATGTAAAATTAAACCTAATGCAATTATCTTGCATGACGCTTCAGTTATGAATATTACTAGAAAAACTGTTTCTATTCCTCCTTGTAATTTCTTTGTGAGTTTGTCTTCATCATTACCCGGTAAATGGTGTTCTGCAGCCATAACTACGCAATTGGCAATGATTGTCGCAAGAATTGTGTATTCGAATGGTGGCCATTCGATAATAAATCGTGTAAGTCTTCGTAAGGGATGATCTTCGGTGAATAGAAATAATGATGTTGGTCCGGCTGCCATTGGAAGCACATTTGGTTGGGTAGGTATCACTTCAATTTTAACATTTTGCCGTGATGTGGCCATCGTTTGTGTCGATACTTTGGCATGCGGAGCTGGTGCTGATGCCTCTTGCGCCGCTAGCCTATATAAGTCAATTTTCATCGACCGGAAAATTGATTCTTCTTAACGTATTTTTTTTTAATTAAATGCGAAATATAATATAACCATTTTTGCTACTTGTTGATTTCTATATCCAAAGGAAGGTGTAACAAAGTCATTCTTATAAAATGAAATAACAGAGAAAAATAAGAAGAAAATGCACGACACTCAGTTATACGCTCATCCGGTGTTGTGTACATACAAGATTCTTGTATGAGTATAATCAAAATGTGACAGAGGGGTTTGAAGGGAAGGGAAGACCAAATGAGCGCACTCGCGCGCACTTGCGCTCGTTCGCTCTTGTCTTCCCTTCAAACCCCTCTGTCACATTTTTATCGCCTTTGATTTCACAGAGTTTTTTTTATCATTTTCTTTAGAATTTTATAATTTGTTGTTTAACATCTCATATTAAAAACGACTTCATGTCACTGTCGGATTGGCAACAGAATAAAAGCCATTTTTTACCCCAACGATTCATAACGTATGAATCACAGAGCTAGACAGTGTCTACTACTAGACACGGTATTGTTTGATTTTTTTGTTGTAACCATTCATTTGAAAAAAAAAAAAAACAATATTCCGAGAATTCCATTTTTGATTCTTATGGGTGACCATTTAATTTAAAAAAAAAATAAAACAAAGAACTGAGGACCCTCTTGTTGAAGGCGCCCAATTCAATTATTGGTTTTCAATTAATTTCGTAGTTACGACCAAACTAAGTTATTCTATTAGAAAAGTGACTATAAATCACAGCACAAGTTTGAATTGTGTGGCGAAAAGTCACTATAAGTTTGACTCTTAATATAAAGTCAACTATTGTTCGAATTAGGTCACCAACGAAGTCGTTGACTCTTTCATTTCTTCCAAAGAATCTTTCTTAAAATTAACGAATTTGTAAAGAAACCTTACCTAAAATATTCCATTGCCAATTAACGTCCAATCGTTAAAAATGTAGAAAAGTTTCTTTTTGTTTATCATATAAATGTTAGATGTATTTTCTTCAAACAAATAATCACGGAATATTCGAGAGGCACAAAAATCCTTTCTGTTAACAAAACTGACATTCGTCAAACAAAGAGCCACTGGAATTTCACTATATTACATTGCGCATTAAATGATTTTGTATAACAATCATTTCATCAGAAATTTATAATAATTTTGTGTCACTAGCTGCACATTTTTTTAAAATTATATCACAAAAGTATCGAATGGTACAATTTTTGAATTCAAAATTTGTTGTTTATTTTTGAATAAAGCTTATCAACATACTGAGTTAAGCACTGGTTTCGTTGATCTTAACGGCTTATCGTTCAAATCGTCACGACTGAAGAAAATAAAATGAAATCAAAACCGATGAGTTGTTATAAATTGAAAGCTGTACGCATGTTTTATTTTTAGGCAAAATCCGGTTTTTGTCCGGTTAAGAGGATACTGTTGTTTTTTTTTTTTTTTGCGAAATGAATGAAATTTTCAAATATATATGATTGTCGGATAACTTGGTCGCGTCGTGTGTCTTCAGTAATAGCGATAATAATAAACTAACCGCACGCACGAAAACATACAACGTCATCACTGTGTCGGAGTACACAATTACAATGGGACACAAAATTATACATAGCCGGAATGGCGCAAATAATCAAGAAGACAGAGATGGAATGACTGCGTGAGATTGAGATGAACGATTACTTCGCTGAATTGTATTTGCAATGTTGGATTTTACTTGCCGAATACTATTTTCTGTGATGCTATTTTATCCAACGTCAGCTCCTACCACTAGAACTCCATAAACGTAACGTTAGCGCGTGCGAGACGCACATATACACACCATAAAATGTTTGCTCCTACATAAAAAATAGACGAATAAGAATAAGGGAGTGAGGAAATAGACTCTGTGTCTCCAATTTGATTCATCATTTGTTTCAATACAAATACAGTGGAGCATGGCTTAAGGGGGCAACAGAGCGCCTTGTATGCGATAGATTCATTGATGGAAAATGTGTTCAGTATTCAGCATAGCTGACTGTAATCGGTCGTTCAATAGTAAACCGAATGCCATGGAATCGAATGTTAATTTTTGAGCAACTTTGATGTGCTGATGCTTTTTTTTACTTTATCCAGACAAAAATGCTACACATTTTCGATGAAAGCCACGCTTCAGAGGGTAACATGAGTGATTAGTTTGTTTTGACTAAACGGAAAAATCAAATGTGATATCATTTTCCCTTCAGTTCCCGTTTTTGTTTGTGTGTCGTCACATGAAATGCTTCTGCAAATCAATCATAAACCGATCGGTATGTGTTTGTATGAAGTTATTTTTCTCCCCAAACCATATATGTGTTTTTTTTTCACGCGATAAACAAAATGGGTCAATATGTCGGTTTAACAATACCAATTTTCCATAAATTGAGCATGATAAATCCAAAAATAAAAGCTTGAGAGCAAAAAGCGGCATGAATCACAGCATATTTTCGATGCAATTCATAAGACTCACCTAAGTAATTTCCATTGCTAGAGTTCCAAAGACGAAGAAGATAGGAATAAAACAATCAATTTATTTTTCAATAGATATTTTTCTTTAATGTTGATTTCATTGTGTTTTCTTTTAATCATCTCTTATTGATAATTCCAATTTATAGAGTTTTATTTGATAAATAGTCATTTAATATTACTGAATGAATATCGAGCTTTTCATTTATTTTTATTTTTTAATTTTTGGGGTCTGGGATTTATTTAAATTTTCAGAGCAATTTGCAATTAGAATGCTCTAAATGTTTGTTTCTTTTGTATTTGTTCAGCGTTGTTGTTTTTATAGGATTTTATCAAGTCAAATATTCAGTTTATATCGTTTTATCTACTAAATATTAATATTTTTGTTTTTTAAAAAGTACAAATAACATTAAATTTATACACTGAATGACAGGGTTCTTTATTTTCTCTTTTATTTTGTTCGAATTGCTAACAATTCTATGTGTAAATCTTGAGTTTTGTGAATTTCGTTTTTGTGTATATATTTTGGTTTTCTCGCTGAATCTGTTTTATACCATTTTGTTGTAAGTGAGTCATTTATGAAGGTTGATGAAATGTTACTTCGCTGATTTGATCAGCTTTATGGCTTAATTATGACGAGAACTATTCTGAAATATATATATTTATAATTTTTTTCAGATTTTTTTTTATATAATTATTTTTGTTTATTAATAATCATATCACAGAAAAATGTATTTACATTTTTTCGCAAAATATGTGAAAAGTGTATAAATTTTAGTGTTCTTTTTATATTAATTTTCTGGTGGTTTTTAAAAGAATTTCAAAGGACCATTCGGTTAGTTAAATTTTATTTTCTGTTATTGTTATTCTTTGCTACGCCATCTATCTTTTGTTGCATAACTTATATAATTCAAAGAAAAATTGCATGGCATATGGTATTTAACCGAATTATTAGATTTAGCAGATTAAGCAGCTTGAATGATTTGCAATACACATCAAAGAGGTTTACACCTTTGATGTTTCACGTAACTGAAAACGGAATTTAAGTCATATTAGGTAGCAAGAAATGAATTGCCTTTTAAAAAGAAAATCAAGGAATAGATTAACGTAGCAGATCGTGTAACACTTGATTAGCCCATCCCCGTAAACTAAACGCTAAACAAAGTACTTTCTAACCACAGGGAATAGGGTGGACAAATTTGACGGATGCAAAAATGCCATTAAGTGGCTTCGAAAGGGATCTTGAGAAAATGGCAGAATATGTACATGATTCCGTAGTATTTTGAAATAAATATTTATTTTCTCGTATTTTGTTAAATATAAAATATGCAAAAAGGATCGAGTTAGTAACAAAATAACAAAAGCATCGACGAACACTAAGACCTATTTAAAAATGACGAAAAAATATCAACACTTCCGATAAATTTGCGTATTTTCCAGCACTTTCATTCATGTTTTAATATTCGCCGGTATTTTTGGAATTTTGCCACTGATTCGTTCCTTGGAGGCAATGAATACAAAATCAACAGGTTGAAGTTTTGTTCTTTTAAAATGTTTTTTATAAAAAAAAATGTAACAGCATTGTGTATGAATCACGTGGTATCGTGGGAAATAAATAGAGATATGAAATTGGGATTGATATGAAATGAATGTAATATTCACCGATTTTTTTGTGTTTTTTTTTTTTTTTTTGTTTTAATCCTTTAAAAAGAAACAGCATTTCTAAATGCAAGCTTAACAAACAATATTTTTTTATGCTTTGGCGTAAGAATTATTTCAAATCTTTTTAAACTAATCTTTTCGATCACTCATCTCCAAAAAAACAACGTCCACTTGATCGCCTATCTAACGTGGGATATACGTTCATCAAATGCCATAACAAATCAATTGATCTATCCAAAAACTGCGATCTATTTACATACATTTTACTTAAATGGTTACGGTTCTCATTCAACATTCCAACTTTAAATAGAGTTAATAACTTAGGTACCATGTGGTGTGATGACTTGAAACGAATACACACTCAAAGGATTTTCATTTTTATTTTTTTTAAACAGTTCAATACTATGACAGACAGAAAAAAAATATTTACACGATTAATGAATTTGCTAGATAAAATGTCGAAAAATGGATAAACAAGCGTCGATTCATATCGCGGTTACATATCGGTGAATATTAAATCTGCGTGTTTTGTGCAAACTCTTCTCCATCTTACGCCTATAAGTAATTTCTTCTGCCATTCGCTTTGTTTTTTCTTCTTCTTCTCTTTTTTTAATTCTTAATTAGAAAAACCTGTTTTTATTCGAGCTATTTATGCTATATGTTGTTTGTTCAAATTCTATATATATCTTTGGCTCTGTGTTCTAACGAGCAAGTTTCCAATAAAGTTTGAAGCTTCGAAATTCATTTCTCTGTTCGGGTATGAAGACTCGAAGTACGAAACATTTTGTAATGCACAAAAATTCAATGGGAAACACACAACTAACTAAGTTTCTCGTGAAATTTGATTCGATATTAAGATTATTAGGCAATGTTTCATGTGTGGTATGCATTTTGGAATCTATGAAAATTATTTACAGGATTTTTTTTTTTTGTTCTCACTAATACGATTATCTATTTGTAAATGGTTCAGCGCCGATGCGAGTAAATAAATTGAAATGAAAAGATATGAACGAGTTTTTTTTTTGTATTTTAAACATGAAGAGCTTTATGGGTCAACAATAGAACGTGTACGTTATATGATTTGAATTTAAAAACACTGAAGGAAATATCGATTTTCTCTTCGAGCTTCGACGTTGAATTGCTTGCTAATTGTTACAGCTCATCTCAAAGCGAAAATACATCTGGATATGAACACTAAATAGATTTTGACATTTAAAATGATGTCGCTCTCTCTGTAGAATGTAAATATGTTATTTTGTTGAATTAACACTATATAATATATATATTTTTTTTGATATATGTTGTTTCGATATGAAATATGAAATTGTGATGGGCGAATTAATATTATTATTAACAATAAGTTTTTTCTTCATTAAATGCATTTACGAGAATATGTTTGGTCAAAATTAGTATCTGAAGCGTGATACTCTCTTGCTTCATGTTTTTTCGCATTTTTTGTGAGTTTTTTTAAAATGTAGTATTCATAATTTTTCTTCATATTTATGCTTTTGTGTTTGTGTGTTTATACAATAAAAAAAGGGGGAAAAATATTGAATGATTTGTTTGTTATTTAATTTTTCAGTTGAGAGTGCGTTGAAAAGATTTCGTTAAATATACTGCATGATCAGTGGATATTCTTATAAACGACGATGACATGGTCGCGCACAATGAAAACTGCGGGAGAGATTAAACAGACGATAACGAATAACCTGTACATTGTGTGTACAGTTAAAAACACCGTTTAAATCTTAAATAACAAACTGAAAATATATCTGCTTTTTGTTTCGTCTCTAAGTTGTAACCTCCATTTAATGTTAAAGTATTTGACTTTTTGAGTACAAAATCGTTTAACTTATACAATTTTTATAAATTATTTGATAAACAACGTATTCACTGAATGAAAAAAAGGGAACTAACGAAAGGTTATCAAAATATTGTTTCTAATCTTCACTTGTTTGACATACTGATCTGACTGACTGCTTAAATGTCCTTGCCATTTTTGAGCCATTTCTGATCGTTTAAAATTGAAAATCAATTTGATGGGTCGTTATTATACTGCAGATGGCGCGATATTTATATATGATGTTTGTTTGATCTACGAAAACGGAAGTCGTGGATCATTGTTCAGCCTTTGCTAGCACCAATCTTCTTCGTCTGAATCAGAGTGTCTCTCTACGGTCTGTTTTAAGGTGGCGCCCAATCCTTGTGTTGCATATCCATTTCTTACCGGAGACGGTAATATACCGGTTCGTCCCATTGCCAAAGCTTGTTCGAATGACATCGGAGTGTGATACTCCAACCTTTGGAGAAGACTAAACATATTTGTATTTTGTTTTGTTTTTGTGCACGATGACGGGGAAAATGAATACACCCAAAATACAAGCAAGCACAGAGTTTCGTCACACACATCATAAAACGTATATTATTCGAATAAAACGGGATGATTTTTTTAGTTTGATTGCAGAGCACAAGGGATGCATTAATATGTATAAAAATGAGATTAAAAATTCGATATTGTTGCATAACACACAGAAATACCAAATACGACGCGATTTTTTTTTATCAGAAAGAAAAACGTCAAATGCGTCAGGATAGATAGTAGAAACACGATTGAAAAAAGAAAAGAAAAAGAAACAAATATTTAAGTATTACAACATCAAATAAATTTAGTCAAATGTGAAAAATGCGGATTAAAAAAATTGACAGAAAAAAATGTTCCACAACAAATCAAACCCGGACAATTTTCAAGCAGGTAAAATGTTCATTTTTTCACAATGGTTACATTTCACTTGAAAATTGAATCGTTGAACATCAAATTGAATTTGAAAACAAATGTAAACAAGTGACAAAAGAATACATCGAAGTTCAAATAGTTTACCTTTCGCGCTCCAATTCTCTTTCACGGTCTCGTTCTAATTCGTATAATTCTCGTTCTCTGTCTCTGTATTCATACCGCATATCATACTCTGAGTCATCGTATTCCACTGCAAATGACATTACTTTTTTTTAAATTCACCACATCGATCAATCGAAATGAATTTTGGATAGACTTACGACTTCGGTGGATGTAACGTGTTGGTCCGCGATGATCACGGAAATGTTCTCTGCGTGAATCCCTGTCTTTTTCCCGATAGTAGTAATCTTTGTTGTCTCTAATGAAATCACGTGAATGTGGCAACGAATGAACACTGTGCGGCGTCGAATGATGTGTCTGTGAATAAAACTAAATACAATTCCATTAGTATACAAAAAAAAAAGAATGTTGCTGGTTTGTTGGCACGTACATGTGTTGGGCTAGCATTTAATTTCGGGAAGTTGATGTTCGATGGTTTTAGATGAAGTGTAGATGGTTTGCTAGGTGTCGGTGGTAATCGTCGACCTTGGCCCCGTCGTTGTACCAGTACTGGATAACTATGCTGTACATGATGGACACCTTTAAAATTCAAACGAAACAACATTTAAATATTTGCGTTGGAAAATGTTGTGTTGCAAATGTGTTCTCTTTACTGAATTCGAAAACATTCCGTTCGGTATTGAATCTTTATAAATAAACTACATTGTTGAAGAAAGAAAAAGCAAAGCAAAATGTACAGAACGAAATATGAAAAGATGGCCAAAATAACCCTGATCTATAAATTGCGAAATGAACACGAATAAAAAAAAACACAAAATCGGTAGTGCACTCAATTCAAGATTTTATTCAAGCAAAAAGGCACACTTAAACAGAAAATAACAAAATAAAAGAAACCAAAATGAAAGAGAGAAAAAAGATTGCATGCAGAAGATATTTATAGTATCTGCCTCAGTTTGATTGTCAAATATGTTTGTTCTTTTAAAAATCGGTATGTGAGTCATTCATTGAACTCGATGCCTTTTTTTTGAAAAAAAAAAACTGGTTTTTACGTTGAATTTCAAATTTTAACTATTTCGAAATAACGATAACAGTGAATGTGAGTAGTGTATAGTGTCAAATGCATCATATTCAGTTTTATGCTTTCGAGGACAAAAATTGTAAAAATTCGAAGGAAAATCAATACAAAAACGAACGAAACAAATGGAACAAATTGAATTGAAAACGGTTAAAAAGTGTTAATTTGAAGAAAAAAAAAACAAAAATTGAAAGAAAAAAACGGACGAAAAGACAGAGAAAGATATAATAGATAGATAGAGGGAAGACTAAGAAAGAATGTGAAATTGTTGCTGTTTTGTATTCTGCTATATCGCTTATTTATTTTGTTTTGCTTGTATTGGTTTGTTCAAATTAAAATCCATATGATTTCGCAGATCTCTACCTCTTTCACGCATTTCCTGTAATCGAGCCGGACTCGGTGAACGTGATCTTTGACATAGACTTGTCGTGCCACCGTACGTGGGTGAAAATTGATTTTGTTTGCCGCGATGACGTAATGGTGATGGAGATCTGGCTGGGCTTGTTGATGCCGACCATGAACCTAAATATACAGTAGTTTATGGTTTTTTTGTTTGGTTGAGTTGGCTTCTTTCTTGCAAATAATTTGTATTTTGGTTAAAGTTTCTTGGATTTCTGACAGTATTCAGTGTTCGTGTTAGTGTGTTTGTGTGTGTGTGTGTTTTTTTGTGTTATGTATATTTAGTGTCACACTGTTTAATTTTCAGGATAAGAGTATTTTGTGTATGAGTATAAAACTCAAAAAATCAACAACAATAAAAACAAAATTCAAAGTGTTTGATTCAATTAAATCGAAAAATAAGAAAAACCAAATAGGATACGAGTGAGTGTTGTTCGTTTTCTGGTGTATATAACGTCTACGAATTTTAGTTTTTGTTATTATAGATTAACCAATTTCTTTATATTTGTATACAATTAAAGTCTATCAATATTCCAATAGCATAAAGCGGGCGAATATTTTCTTACAAAGGTTCAAATTTCTATGTCTAATTTGAACTCGATCTGTCGACTCTTCGTTTCCGAGGAAATTGACAAACGATTTCTAATGCAATGGACACTATTAAAAAATTTGTATGTTAGTTTTTTTTTATTTTTGGAAAATCCGACAAATCACAAAATTTATACAGTTTGTGACCAACTAAACTTTGGACGGTAGAAAATTTCATAATCGACAACAAGATAATATATTATCAAGCATGAAAACAAGAAGGCCAAAATGGTAATCTAACGATATATCTTGACCGTGAATGCCATAATTTGGTTTAAATTTGAGCAAAAAAAGCATTTAACTCGTTCTACGGCAGCAACAACAAACATATTCAAATCATAAATCTACTGAAGCATTGAATTTTGAAGCAACCTTTTTTTTCTTAAATTCAATTGAAAAGTGCACAAGCACAGTAACAAGTAAAGCATTTCGAAGAGGGGGGCGAGGGTTTTTTTTGTCACGTTCAGGAATCATGAAACTACTAAATAAATATATATACCATCTTTACATATGGCATGTGCTATAATATCAAACAACATCGAATCCTTTAAAATATCGTTCAGGATGTTAAGGTCTGTGTTCTCGTTTGAGTTTGTTAGCTTCATTTGTTGTGTGCCATTCATATTGATGGAGAAAATGTTGGACCAAAATCAACCTGAACGTTTTTCCAAGGATATTTTACTCATCGATCATTAATTTTACAGATGGGATCAATATTCAAATAGTCAATATATTTTGATTGGGGATGTGTCAAAATATGCAAATGAATGATATTCATTTGAATTTGAATAATAAACCAAATTTACACAATTAAAATGGAAAATCACATTTCTTATACTATATATATTCTAAATCGAAACACACGCACTCGAGATCATACAAATGAAAATCAACGAATCATACGTTTAACGGAAAATAAAAGTTTTTTTTTCTTTCAAATGAAAAATTATGTTTTAAATAAAAACAAGTGTTCGGAAAATGGGTTTGGAAAATCCAAAAATGTTGTGCAACAAATGTATATGAAGCTCGTACCTCGTGGGTATCTACCATTTGTTCGGTATCCACGATTGTGTCCACGTTCTTCCTTAACAATTTCAACAACATTTGATACTGTGTCCGAAAATCCAACATCATGATGCGGATGCAATTGATTGCCTCTTCGCCGTGGGCTAGGTGTTCGTTCCAAATGAGGCGATCCAGATCGTCTATCATTCAAATCAAAAACAAATGGAGATTAGATGCAATTAATTCGGCGAGCATAAAACAAAAGATACAAACCTCAAACTGGGAGATCGTCGATTAGAATACTGATGTCCTGGATGCAAATGCGTTCCATCTGGTTCACCCGTCAAAGATTCCATCGACGGTTGCCTCGATCCAATGTCATGTAATTCCAACATCTAAAAAATATCCACCCGTTTCAAATGATAAACATTTTAGTCACGCATAATAACAAACGGCAAATGTGTAAATAGTCCAATTCGGGATTTTTATATAGCAACACTGGAAACTAAATATCATTAATAATATCTAAAAGAAAATTTCAAGTTGCTTAAATTGCTAATGTTCCTTATTTTTTGTGTTAAAGGCATTTGTATATATATATTATTTTTTTTCGTTTGTTTAAACTTGTCCTATATTTTCAGTTGCTGGTATGAATACCGTGTAATCTCATTAGGCATTCTATCTACTTGCTAAGATCATGTAATGCGACAGAAAATATTTGGAATTGTCTACTTAAAAGAAAATTTGTTTTCGTGACAAACGTATGAGCCGTATGAAATTGATCAACATGCAAGGGTGCACTAAATAAAATTCGGCTTGAGTTACAAATGAAAAAAGAGAAATGAATTCGACAAGCTATGTTTTGTTTTGTTTTTCGTTTTTTTTGTACAAAAAATGATATTTACATTAAATAGAGAAATAAAATTGGTAATAAAAAATGTTTTTGATTGTATATACATGTTTCAAATGGTTGTCATATAGATAAAAGTTTTATCATAAAATGCAAAAAATCTAAGGAAAAATGGATTAAACCATGCATATTATGTAAAAACAATGGCTCTACACTAGAACTATGATTTCGATTGTTTAAATTGATTTTGTTGCGAATGAGTATTTGATATTTGATTTTGAAAGGTTAAGAATTTGATTTGCTAAAGAGAATTTTGGGTGATATATGCTTTCGATTTCGAATGAAGCAAATGGTTGTTTAATGAGCGAAATTCGAATTGTTTTTTGTGAATTCAGAAGGTGATGAAATTTGGAATCGATTTGCTAATAAACTGGAACCATCGGTACTTACCAAAAACAAAAGAAAAATTCAACAGTTATGCGATAATATTGTTCACGATTTTCTAGCATTGAATATGATTTGCAAAATGTCTCCTACGAAAAACAAAATTTCAAATATTCACGAGATTTTCGTTTGTCTCTTCATTTAAATTCCGTTTGCATCGTTGTGATGCTATCCGGCTCAATGGCTAACTCAATCTAAAAATAATTATGATAATTGTTTCTACAGTTTTTTTTAAAGCCAGACCACGATCGTACCGTCTACTTGACGCAAAACGAAGTCTACGTATTTAAAAAAAAATTACAAAGATGAGTAACTTTTCGCTAATTGCTGGTATGTTTTTATCTAGTTTTTTTTCCCAAAAAATAATTGTGTTTTTAGTTTTTTATTTGTTTGATTGTGACGGGATTCTAGAAATGAAATTGCAATTTGAATATATTAAGGAACGAATTTATCGAAAATGCTACTTGGCTCTAAATTATTATTATTATTATTCCAAAACGTTATTGTTCAATTGCCAATTGAAACACAGTTATCATACACACATTTAATCAATTGTTATGATCACAAAATTATGGAAGGGTCCCACAAATATTACAAATCAACGTTAATTATCAACGAAACAAAAAAAACGTTTACGATATAAAAACAATGTAAAACAATGAAAACCAAAAATGAAACGGGAAATGATAACAATGAAGAAAAACACAATTTACGAGAGAAATAATAAAAATATATATATAACCGGTCGTCAATTGTTCCTTAGCCAACTCAAACTAAGTGGATTTAAACAGAAAATAAAAGTAGCTTTTTTAGTCGACACGGGAAACATACAACACTATACGCCTTCTCGAGATAAATATGACATAGACATTTATAGAAAGCGATTTTGTCTTTTCATAATTATAATTTAATATCCTCCCACTTTTCCAACATAAACTGAATATTTGTTAGGTAATCTATATTACGTAATGTGGTTATCACCTTTTTGCTCCTGCAAATTGAAAGAGAAGAAGACAACATTGTGTAAGATAATTGGTTATTGCAAGCGCACAATTTTACGTGTTGGAATTACTTACCGCAATGAGCGTTTTCGTATGGTGCTGTGCCGAGCTAGTTGCGATAGACTTGATCGCTCTTCTTGACCATTTTGCCCATGCAGCAATTGTGTTTGTGAACTAGCAACACCCTCGTCTATATTTATCGAACCCGTGCGTGAATTTGTTTTTTCCATTGCGGCCATATCCAGCAAACAATTGAAGAACGATTGTTTCTGCTATACTCAGCAATCATCATGCATTTCCGAGCATGTGCGCGTTTTAAGTATTAAACAATTTTTTTATGTCGCCCCAAACATTTATTTTGCATTCGATTTCGAATTTATCATTTTGCCATGGAGAATCGGTATTTAGAAGAAGGTGGTAGAAGATGGATGATGACAGTGATGTTGTTGTGTGCGTGTAATTGACGGATTGTTTGTTTTTGTTTTTTTTTGGTTTGTCACAGTTTTGTTTGTTAAATTTACATTTTTGTGTTGGATGGTGTTTGTGTGTGTGGTTGTGTATTTTAAAATTGTTGTTGAAGTAAGAAAAATGTAATGAAGCAAATTTTAAAGAAATTCATTGAAAATTTTAAAAATAAAAACATTGTTTTTGTGATTAATTTATGCATTTTTTATACAATTTGTTAAAGAAAAACTTATCGGAATTCTAAACAAATAGATTTTTTAAGGCCTAAAAAATCAAAAGCGTGCAAACGAATAAAATGATGAAAATTCTCATTTCGCTTTTCGTTGATCATCAATAAAGAAAAGACCTCACAGAGATGGAATCTCAAAAACTATCACCATTAAGAAATCTTTGGTTGTCCAGGGTTTCCTTCATTGAGAGGCTTTACTGTATTAAAATTCACGGTTGTTGGCTATAGATTATAATAATTTTATCAACGGAATCAGAGATTTTCAACAATTTTATTCAAGTTTCAATTAGAAAACCATGCATAATTTGTAAAAAAAACTCGCTGTAACATTCGAAAAAATCTTATTTAAATAATGTCATTCAATTTGCATTCTCAACTTTTCTATGGATATTTATCGGAACTTTGGTGCTCATTCCTAAAAGGATTCAATGCAAAAAGTTATTGTCTATATGTCTAAATGCTGCAAAATCGCAAAATCTAATTATATCAGACACTTTGACTAAAGTACTGTGCTGAACAACAAGGATCAAAGCGAATCAGAGTTGATCTGATCCATAGAATACAAGCAATAATACCGAACTAATCACGTTAATCTATCAAATATAGGACAAATATATTGATTCTTTTTTTAAATTATTTGAATCTTAATCATTTTTTTTCTTCGTTTCTTTCCAATTTGGTTTCCTTTCCTAATTTGTAATTTTGAATATATATCAAAAATATTTATATGTGTATGTGCAAAAATTGGTCTATTCTATGTTTTGCAATGCTAGAACTTGACAAAAATAAATTCGGATTCATATTGGGCATAATTCATAGAGTTAGTTAGTCATCCAGGAGTTAGGCATTAAAAATCATTCAAAGTAAATAATGACATTCCATTTGAAGAATTGTGAGAAACGAAGTTGGGGAAAGAGCAGGAATTCATTGAAGATCATAGTTTTTTTGTAGGTGTGTTTATGTTCATTGTGTTAATGATTTTTAATATATTTATTGGATTGGCATTCAAATTCTGGCTGAATTTCTCTCCTGGCATCAATTTTTTTTTTCTTTGACCGGAAAGTCAATCGGAAGGTGATTTGGCATTGTTATGCCGGAGAAAAATTCGACGAGTGTATTCATTCCAAAAAGGGCATATAAAATCGAAATAAACTTGCGAAGCTTTGTTTGAATGCAATAAATTCTGAGTATAAAACATTTCAAAATTGAATTGTTCGATGTAAATAAATATAAGGAAAATAAATAATGAAAAACGAGACGAAAGCATTCGACTAAATGAATTTTAACTGAACTGGTTTTTTTCATATTATCACTCGTTAAAAAGACAAACAAAAGCAAATTATAGTTGAACTAAGAATAAAAGGCTCGCTATGAATCAATCATATTACAATATACGATTCGAATTTTGACGTCTCAGTTTTATACAAAAAAAAGCAGAAAATCGAGAGAACGATATGTTCGAAAAAGAGATAAATGGAAAAAAGTAGAGCGAAAGAATAGTTGATATGGAATTTAGAAATATATCGTAATAAAATTGATAGTCGTTTATCGCTATGCAACTAAAAAAACTGTTAACAAAAACCAAAACCGTTCGTAACACAAGTGAAAAATAAATAAAATTGATAAATTAATGAGTATACCGCCTGTTTGGATGTAGGACTTGTTTTGCTTGCGTCTTTCTTCTTTATGGCGATGTGGATCGCGCGTTGTATTTACGAAGTGACGATGATATATATTTATTATCAGTATTAATTTGTTTTTCGATTTTTGCGAATGGAATTTGTTTGGATAGTCGGTAATAATTGTAACATTGCAATAGTTTTATGGATTTTTTTGTTAATTATTTGGTTCGATTCATCAATCACGAAAAATGAAAGAGAGAAAGAAAAGAACATGTCAAATATAAAAATGATTTCTATTGAATGCAGGATTAAATAGAATTTGTGTTGTTTGTTGATTAGAAAATGTAATCGTTTTGAGTTTTCTATCAAAAATCTCCAAAATGAACAACAAACTTTTGACCAAATTGATTCTCTCTTTTCAAACGAATGATTTCAAAATGATTACTTTTTCTCTATTTCTTCAGTTTAAACTAAAATTCATTTTAAATTTTGTGTGCCCTCATATTGATTTCGCTACAACGACATTTGAACATATCTCTCACTTTTTTTTGACAAAGAATTTTATGTAATACTGTGCGTTTTAATATTTGAATAAAAGTTTATTTCATTCGCGACAAGACTTAAGCTACATATGTGCGCCATTCCACGAATTCTGCGTAAAAAAACATTTAAATCTACAGTTGTCTTGTTTTCGTTTTTAAATTCACAATTAAATTGTTATCGTTATCATAAAAAGAAACAACATCAAAATTACAATAAGGAAACCCGATTTGCATTTTATACCTAACTAGAAAATACGGAAAATCGATTGTGTTTTGAATGTTACGACTGAAGATGGGGAGTTCTAATAAAAAACATATCGGTATTCTGTTAATTGGGGAGGAAATTCAAAACATTTATGACATGAAATCAGGTCTACGGCAAATGTAGCTGGTTATACAAAACGAATTCAAACTTGATAAATCGAATGCTAGCTTTTAAGATACTTTTTTACCCATCAAAATGGGTTACAACATGGTGGTGGATACACACTTGGAATATTGTTATCGATAAATAAAATATACGTTACGATTTTGCGTTTTGCGACTTACTGAAAAATATTGAAAAATTTATCACTGGTGTGGGCGCTAACAACATCGATATAACATTTATTCGCACACAGTTTTGAGCAATTTCTTGTGTTTTTTTTACGTTAAAATGACTAAAGCCAATACGTTTTAAGGGTAATACATACGAACGAACAAAAAAAAAATGGTGGATTTTATTATTTTAAGGTAAACGCCAATTGAATTTTGTGTTTTCCTTAAAATGCATTTAGAATAATTAGTAAAGTTTATATATCAATTCCCTACGGCCAAGCACTCTGTATGAGTCTGGTGTTGACCTTTCCGTTTTTCTTTAATTTTCGATTATTATAGAGTTTTTTTTCGGCTAAGTAAATGATTGTATTGGCTTGGCTTACCGGTATTCCACTTTCAATTTGGCCAAATTTCGTATTTCTCCATGACTCCAGTATCAATAGACTCGCATATATTTTTCCCACGGTTAAATTCATTTTGTTCAAACGTTCGGTGCGAGGAATGAGCAAGTCCAGCATCTTTTTCGCTTGAAAAGGCCATATCATCTGGATGGTTTCACGAAGCTCTTCGTCAGCTTGGTCCATTTCGTCAGCCAATCGCATTTTTATATTTAAATTTTCACGAATCAATGCGAATAGCGTGGTCGTAAAATTTACACGTTTCTCTTCATCCAATGGCATATTCATTCGTATCAGTTTTTTGTAGGCGAGTCTGTTCGGACATTTATTGCCAAAACCTAAAGGTGGATCTATGTTCTTTAGCATATCATACATTTCGGTATAGTGAATTTTGCCCCTGAAACATTTAAATCGGTTAGAAATAGGAACCAAATCAATGCTAAATGATAATTTTAAAACAAGAAAATGGATTACGTTGCGTTCGGATCATATTCAGCCCAAATGCGCACAAATTCATCCAAATGATGGGCGCCCAATATACTTGAATCTCTTGTTAAATAATCAAAATTATCCATGATAACAGCCACGAACAGATTCAACATCTAAAATTGTGCGGAAAATTGATTTGCAAACAGTTTTGTGTTGGCAGTGTAAGATTGAAGATGTTTAATTCTCGTTAGAAATGGTTATGATTGAGAAAATACATAGGTAAACATTTATTAAATATCAAGTATTTCGTTTCTTTTTTTTTTAAACTATAATAAACGCAATGATAGGTCTTACCAAAAACGAGCAAAAGAAAATGAAGGACACGAAATATGCATATGCTATTGGTGATCCACAGTCTTCGCCTTGTTTGCCTGACTTGGAATCACACGGACCTTTAAGACATGCCAACATAATGTTCGGCCAAGCCTCGCCTGTCGCGCACCTATTCGAAAATAGGTTTGAAAAATGATATTTCATTAGTGTGAGTATTTTGCCGGATTTTAAAAAGCATCAAAACATAAATTAAAAACAAAAAACTTCAAAGCAAAACTGAATTGGGAAGTGAACAAACGTCGTCAAAATGAAAATAATAAACATTTTGTTCATTTCCCTCGCTTCTGGAAAACTAAAGTGGAAAGGTATTGAAAAGCTAAGAGAAAATGAAAAATAATCTAAGCTCAGCACTAATTCTAGGCGCTAATCTATTTATTATAAAGTACATATGTATTATATTGTATTATAGTTTATGGTATAGTGGTTAAAACTCTATTTGATTTTATATGTAAAATATATATAAAAACAGCACAAACTATTCAATGGGAAAAAATGAGGATATTATATGAAAAAGGATTCGATATATGTATATTCGATCAAAAAATTAGATTAATAATTGACTTGCAACTATTTGGTCGGTTTAATTGGAATGTTGCAAGTTATTATGCGCACAAATTCAAATCTATTTACTTTCTAAAATGCCAAAATAACTTAATAATAATCAGTTGGCCAATAGAGGTGGTTCATTTAATTACAAAAGATTAAGTTTAGCTCAGGTTAGACTAATTTTTTTTCTAAATTTGTTCCAAAAACTATTAGAATTTTTGTAGAATTTTTATGTTTTAAATCGTATTTGCTAAATTGTACCTTTACACATGTTTGTTCTGATTGATACATTTATACACTTTTGAATAATATACACAATACTGGGAATGGCCAATTTCAAGAAATCGTTAATCAACATTTTGAGAACGAACTAGTAAAAAAAAATCTCTCTAAAGAGAAAAATACGATTGAAAAAAATAGAAATATTTTCTACACAAAGAAGAACCTATAAGAATAATACAACATTCTACTCAATACACAAAGCATATGTTGTGTCTGAGATACAAGAAATATGACGAATTTTTTTCTTCACTTTCTTTTTGCGATACCTGAATATCGAATTCATCTTCAATTCCTAATTTTGCGTGATGAATTCTCAAACTATTCCACAAAATGATTTTTGTTTTCAATCATCAACATCAATGATTGTATTGAATCTACTTCCTATTCTTTTTAACTTGTTTCATTTATGACACGTTAGAAATACAAATTAAACGGCGAATCATAAATCGTTTCGTTTTAAGAGATATATCTATTTTAGCTAGATTTGATTAGTTTTCCCATTAAGTGCTAAGTTGTGAAAGAAGAATAACTGTGAAAAATTGATATATGTTCACTAGTGAGCAAACGCTCAATGTCTAGAAAAAAGTTGATTATTATTTATTTTAAAATCAAATTGAAAATCTATTTATCTTGACAAGAATCTAACGATCGCTGTTTAAATAAAAGAATTGTTTTTATTTTTGTTTCGAATCCTAGTCTATCCACCAATTAAGATAAAAAAAGACCAAAAAATCAAAGAAAATCAACAAGATAAACGGTTCGAAAAGAATTCACTTGTTTTTTCAAGTTCACCGTCACTTACCTGAACAGTAGCATTAGTCCTTGTAAAAACGATCGGAAATTGTTGTGTCTTGTAATGGCGGTATCGGGCGATAGAGCGATATTTCCAAAAACCTTTTGTTTTGTATTCGATTTGATTGCGATCGTTAATAATAATGTCAACAGGCCAATCGCATTTCGAGATATTTTTGGTTCGTGTGTGTGTTTTTTGTATGAGAGAATGGTTGCAAACGAAAGTGCAGACGCAGAATAAATTCAGTGGAGTATTGATTTGTTTTCATGTAATGGGCATTATTTTTGAAATTTAATTTTCACGTTAAACACAAACACACATTGATGTTTTCACAAAAGATGAGAAAAAAGAAACAGTGAAGAATAAGAAGAAGAAAGAAATATTTGATTTTTCGGTGTTTTATCATCAGGATCTCCTAACAATTGAATGTTTAATTAAGAATGTTTGGCTTAGCTTAAAAGAGGTGAGTTCGTTTCATTTGATTGGATCAATTCTAAACCTAAAAAATGTCTATTTTATTTGCTAAAACGCGCCGAAATGCTTTCCATCGCCATCAAATCCATCTAAATGCTTGCGTGGCACTTTCTATTCGATTTCGATTCGTCTAAATGTGTCTATATACAACATGCGACTATCTCAGACGTAACGACAAAATACGATTTTATTTCAACTATTCAAGTTTATTAGATACTTTGACTAGGTATTTGTTTGAGTTTTATTTCGAATGTAAATGGTCGCAATAATAATCCATTTTCATGTATGTTTTGTATTTGTTCGAGTGACATTTACAGCATTGTGCAAAAATAACTTTTTTTATATTATTTGATGCTAATAATAATATCTAAATTCGTTTTGTTTTCAATTGTACGAAAAAAAAAAACATTTTATAAATACCTACTGGATTCCGTTCTTGAGTCATTCAAATCGCTTAGCAAATTTACAAATGAAAATGCAACTCTACAATCAAATACGGTACTTGTGTTTTGAATGACGCAATCAATAATAAATATATAGACTAAAAATTATTAGGAATCAACGGCACGATTACCAACAAATACATTTTGCACAGGGTTTGGTTTTTATTTTCATCTAGTTAATTGCTTTGTTTTTCAATTCACAAAAAATACACATACAGAATATGAATGTCAACAATATTTGGAGGGAGGATTGAAAATTAAACAAATAAATAAGTGAGCGGGACGACTTGGTTTTTTTTTTGTACAAAAATACAATCCGATCATACAATCGACTATGTTAATAAATAGAAAACTTAAAAGAGAAGTGAAGAAGAGTTGAATGTTTTATTTTAGCTCAGCAGATTGTTGCATTACCGAAAGAGAAGTAGAAGGCCACCAAAAAATGTCTGAAAATTGTTGTGTCGATTCAACGCCGTTGCTGGATCGAATTTCATATTTCCGAAAACCTAACAACGGTTTCGAGCGGAAATGTGTTCGGTTTATCATTTGTATTTGGGAGGAAGAGGTTGATTGTGTTGAAATGCAGTCGAACGATAATATATATATAAATATGGTAAATGTTGGTGGTAAATATTAATACAGTTTTTTTTGTTCAGCTAAACTAAGTGTTATCTATGGAATGGATGAATCCACTCATTCTTTGCTACACTAAATTATCTAAATATAAATAAATTTTATGTTGTTTGTATAAGAGTCACGTATCACAATAAGAATTACAATTTTTATGATTCGATGAATTTTAATAATATGCTAAAAGTTTTCAATTTTGAGTCAAGTGATATTTGTTTTTTTTTTTTAAATTAAGGTGTGTGTGTTTTGAATATAAAGTTTACTAAAATTGTCCTAATATTTTTCCCTATTTGGTCCAATCAATTTTTGACGAAACAGTTGCGGAAGCCAAAAAAGAGAGTTCAAATTGATGTCGATCTCTTGTTTGGTTTCCGAATTATAGACACATACACATATTAAAGATAGACACATATAATACTGATCATGAAATCATCCATTTCATAGACAATTTCAGAAATCAGTTATTTTTGGAAAACACAAAAGTAAATTTTGAAAACGATTTGTTATACCTGCATTCCGATGATGGCGTAAATGAAAAATAACATTGCGATAAGGAGGCAGACGTACGGCAAAGCTTTAAACGATTGAACGAAGGTCCATAGCAGAATTCGAATTGTGTATCCTTGACGCAGCAACTTAATTAAACGGGCCGCACGGAATAGACGCAAGAAGCCAACATTAAATGTATTGGCCTGTTCGATGTGCGGCGAACGATGATGAATTGTTGACAAATCAAAAAGAACGAATTATTCCATTAGCATCAGTTTGAATTGTGTAAAGAGTGAAATTAGATGTAAATTTTCATTTTACAGGGGGATTTCATCTAAACATTTATCTAAAGAGTGTGGTGTGGATTTTGACATCTGGTGCATTTGGTGGGAAAGCGTTTATTATTCAACAGGTGTGTTTTGTGATACACATCGAATACTAAGACAAAAAACAAAAATACCTACACGACCAACCAACAGCAAAGGGAGAAGTGGGACAAATGCACAGAAATTTATAACATTTACCATTTTACCACATCAAAGGGAGATTTTACTTTGTTCAAAATAGGTTACCAAACAACAGAATTCATTCAGAAAATCACAATTGTAAAATTTGCATTAAAAATAAGTTACCAAATTAATTCGAAAATGTTCAAAGAACAACTAATTTTAATAAATCAAAATGAAAATTTTCAGAATACTAATTCATCAAACATGCTTGATTTTACTTCGTTCAATTGAGATTACAAATAGAATACACTCATCAGAGCATGCAGTTATTTTGTTGTGTTTCTGTGCTAGTGAAGTGTTTTTGTGTGCGTGTTTGGTTTTGAATGTTTCATGTTTTTTGTTTGTTTTTTTGTTTTTCTAGCTATTCGATTAATATAAAAGAGTTTGATATATTGATTATCTAACAGATTACAGAAATCTTTAACTATAGAATCTAATTGACTTTGATTATATGTTGGAATCTATGAATTAAAAGAAATGGACTATATATTTTATATGATTTTATCTATCTAGTACATAAATCTGTCGTTGGTTATTATTCTTGCAAATCACATATACTCTGTCCGTTTCAATTCCATTTCATAATAGTAAAATTGGTGAAAAGAAATCTGCTACACCAAATAAACGCAATGAAAAAAAAACGTTATAGATTGATACCTAAGAGATGGAGCTTTGCTTATAGTCTTCTGTTTTGTGCTTTTTTGCGCTTTTCAGAACGGATAATAAACTCAATGTATTGAAGAAGAATTAATATTAGTCGAACTAAATCTAGCCTAACAAATAACGACATTGCTGCTCGTTGGAATTTGTCAACTTCATTGAAAATATCAAATTCATAAAATTCAAAGAAAAAGCGATCAATAAAATGAGGGATTTTGCCCGTCATTCTTCCATCCACCGAACAGCAATATCAACGATATAAACGAAAAATAACTATGAAATAAATTACCGGTTTGCGAGGAATTGGCTGGACAAAGGGTAAACTATCAAAATCAGGATTATGTTTTACCTCAAAATCAACAGATGTCTAAACGTATGATTGATTTTGTGATTAAAATCGGATAAAATGTGATTTTGGATTTGGACGGTAAACCGTTGTTTCGCAAGATCCAGCGCCGGATCATCGTTTATCGATTTATTTTTCGTAAATAAAATAAACATTTGACCAGTGATTCGTGTGTTGTGTGTAAGTGTTGAGTGGTTGTTGTTGTTGTTTTTTTTTTTATTATCAATTAATTATGTTATTTCAAATAGTTGTGTTTACATAAAAAAATGTACAAGTATTCACACAAAAAATAAATAAATATTGAAATTAAAATCGAATATAGAAAATTGAAAAATATTTTGTGTATGTAGAAAATGCAAGATGAATAGTACAAAAAAGTGTTGAAATAAATAACAATAATCGCATTCCGTTTAGATAGAAAATAGTTGAATAAATATTTTAGTAAAAAATGATGTGAATTTTATAAATCCGATGGGATTTATTTAAAATTGACTCATAAGAAATACAAATTGAAAATGATTGAAAACCAAAAATCGTGAGCAAATATTTCACATGAATTTTGTGCAAACTATTCAAAATATTAAAATTGTTTTGTTTTCTCATAAAGAAATCGATTCATTCAAATTCGATAAGTTACAAAATTACGTATTAAAGAAAGAAAACTGAATTTCAAACCAAAGTGATTTATGAGAAATAATTCGAAAAGTCAAAAAGAAACGGATGCATTTCACATACGATCAACTTTTTTGTTCATTCATTTGAATACAAACCCCAATTTCCAACACCATCGCGTCGATTATGCTACCAATTACAGTGATGAAATCGAACACGTTCCAGGCATCCTTGAAGAAGTTCTGCATTCAAATTCGGCGAATATTCAAAGAAGAAAAGAGATTAGTATGAGGATAATGACTGGACTGATTGATTTATTTGCGCCTACAATCCCTGATCTCTTTTCCTCATACGATGACATCGTCATGTGGAACTCAATTCCATATGAAAATGCCATCACCTATATATACACAACTAGCGCTTGTTTAAAGGAGCATGTAATTGTACGTTTCAAAAGCATCTAACCCAACCGAATCGGAACTTACAAGTGGCTTACTGTTCGTATTCATTCGTCAAGGCTTTTAAAAGGTCAGTTTGGCGTCGGTGAAAAGAAAAACCGAGCCTGTTTTTAACCATACTTTCAAAATGGACGGAATTCGCCGAGCTTTTTTTTACACGGATCTCTGTTTTATTGGTTAATGTCGATGCAATCTACAATCTTTATTATAAATTTACTACTTGGAAACAAATGCGAGGTGAATTTGCCAAATGGCCAAAACTAAACAGCAATTATCGGATTTGAATAAGCTTCCGATTAAACACATCGCCTTTAATGTGTTTTTGTTTTCAATTTACTTAGGCTGGGAACAGTACATTTTTGCTTGTACGAAAAATAATTGCGTGCGCTCTAGTTAAAATACGTTTTGGTCTAAAGCTTTTATATGAATGACAGAAAGACAAAACAAGAAAATAGGGCGACTTATTTTAAATCAAATCTAGCTAAATGCTTATTTTTCGCATGGAATACTACAGCATATAAAAAAATGGAATTTAATATGTATTATTAATAAAAAAGAGTGAGAAAAGAAAAAAAGTTATGGATAATAATTTATGTTTAGCTGCCCTTGTCAATTCCATTGGGTTTTATCTATGGCATGAGGAGTTTAATTAAATAATAATACAAAACTTTGATCAAATAAAAATCGAAGACAAATTATATAGTGAATCGATACAACCAAAGAGGATAACATTATTTGAACTACTGGCTATGATAAATTGGTGCATTTACTATTGCAATTAAATGGGAAGATTAGAAAATAAATAAATACCAAATCAAATTACATTTGGTTGCTTTCAAATTCAATTGAAATAAAACAGAGTAAAACAATCATTTGATTTTGTTTAGATATTGAGTACAACAAACAACTAATTTTTACAATTTGCCCGCCTGAACATATTTATCAACAGAAAATGAAGGAAACATCTTTTTTTTATTAATTTGTAGGCTAGTTTTAGCTGTACTATTGATTGTTTGCAGCAATAAGAAAGGGATTCAAAAGGAATTTAAAAAAACTACACTGAAAACAGCTAATAAGAAAAATCTTTCGAATGAGAAAAATGGATGAATTAGCCATTGATAAATATTGTGAGAAAAAAAAGAAATGAGCATAATTTTTGAGTGAAATTGGATAAAGTGTAATTGAACTAAACGACCAGTAACGATCTTTTGAACACTCATCATAATTATTATTATTTGGTCATAGTACATTAATTTGATGTACTTGAAACATGAAAATCAATTTAAAAATATTAAAAGTCCGAAAATATTCTATTCATCAAACGAATTTAGTTTTGGTTATAAACGAAAAAGTATATATGGTGTTTTAAAAGTGCTAAAACTTTAAGTTGAATTCAATTTTATATTTTTCCCATAAAAAGGCCGTAATCGGTTGATTTTGTGGTGGATATGATGATTCAGCAATGGTTTCACATGGATCCATCGGTCGGTTCAAATTTGTTATTTTTTTTACTTGAAATTTTTATTGAATCATAATAGTCTGATACTGAATACAGCTTTGTTCATGATCAAAACAAAAAAAGTGTATTCAATTTAAAGATGTAACACTTGAAAAACACTCTTTAGTCAAATTCCCATGAATGTATTACCGAGTGAATGTGACAATTATAAATCTAAATGCCAATTAATAAAAGATCACATGAAACAATAAAAAAACAAAATATCTGTTCATTGGTCAAAACCAATGGTAAACATAATCAAAATCATGTTTTAAGAAAACAAAAGTGACGAAAACCAAAGATCGATTCAACGTTTTTCTTATTTATTCATTTGTCTGTTGATTCTGTTGTTACAAACCTTAAATCCAAATGCTATTAATTTCATCACAGTTTCCACCAGAAAGCACAATGTAAACACCAAATTCATAAAACTCAGAGCATCGAGAAGCATTGGCGGTGCATCATGAAACTAAATACGTCCGATTTGTATTTTAATTTAAATTCGTTAATTAATTTGATTCTGTTGAGAAATGTTTCATTGGTATTTGATTTTTTTTATGGCACAAATTTAATCAAAATAAAAGATTGTCAAACAAAAAAAGTGAAGTTGTTTTTCTGTTGCAATTACTCGCAGATATGTTGACTGTTTTACAAGGAACGAAAAATGTATACGGATTGTTCATTCAAGCTTTTGTATTTGAAAGGTTTCGATTTGAATGACTACATTAACATTGACGCTTGCCACTGTGGTGATATAAGTATGCAGAATGACGTTCATATATAAATCTGATGGTTAACTGATTTGAGTTGCAAGGATTCAGTGAATTCGCATGTAAATAATCACAAGTATGGTTATAATACAATGAATGGCCAATTTTAGATCGAAATAATATACTTTTACTCATTTTCAAATGAATGAAATAATTTCACTAAAATTGAATCACATGGTTAAACTAGCGTATGGTGTGGATTTGACTTACATACGCTTCAAGGGGTTTCTTAAACCGTATTTGCAACTCACAACACGAACTCCTCTCTCTCTCTCATTCTCCGCTTACTTTGTACATTTCAAACTACATACGAAACGATAAATTGTGCGGTTGCATTCACGGTTTCAAACTGCCATTGAATTAATGTAAATTGATTGCAACAGCATGAAAACCGACAACATAATTACGAATTTACAAAATTATTTTGAAAACGTATTACGTAGGCAATATTGCTACGAGTGGACGCATCTAATTATGACTCGTTATTAAGCACACGTCATGCTTCCAGAAAACGAAATTTCATTTTAAAATAAAAATCACACATAATGCTTATAAATACACTTCACGGGACATAACTTGATTGTGACAATACGATGTGGTTTAATTCAATCACTTCATTTTTTTGTGTATAATACAGAACATGAAAACAAAAACATCACAAAAATGATATAAATAGAAAAAGAAAGCCGTGCACAAAATGCATTCTCATAGTTTGTCTAGTCTTACGGACTAACATTTCATGCGTAAACACAAATTTTATCATATGTAGACCAATGGACATTCAAAGTCAGCACAGAGAACTATTTATGGTCATTTCGTCGGACGGTGGGTGCTATTTCAATTTATAAAATTTGATGGTATTATCTCTAAGTATCAATTCCAACACTTTGCCTTCAGCTGAACGAACACACATCAATTTCAATTTATCAAAACTGAAAGCTACTGATTAAATATACCCAGAGAGCTCCGAATTTCTCCCCTAAACAAACATATGTACAAGAAATGCTTCATTTTGAATTTCATTTTTTTTTTAAATCGCTGTCTATATTTTCAAACTGCCTATCTACGAGCGCTTTTGCTGAATTCATTTTGGCTGATTGCTGATTTATCTATGTGTTTTATTCTTTTGTTTGTTTGTTTGTTTGTTTGATACCAACCTTTATCCCGAATCCGATAATTTTGAGCACTGTTTCAACACTAAACATTCCAGTAAAACCCATATTGATGTATCTCATTAACTTTTCGAAGACTGGACTTTGATTATGGTACTGTTGATAGGTTCACACATATATTTATAAAAGTTGATTTGATATTTTGTTGTTGTTGTATTTGATTAGTAATGGATTGAAAATATTTTGTTTTATATGAATATGTTCTAAAGATGTTCAATGTTCATTCTACAAAATCATAAATTCATTAAGCAATTGCTTGTCACACGGTGTTCAGCGATTGCGGTTGGATTCATTCGGAAATCCGATTGCATATTTGTGTATTACATTGATTTAATATATATACGATATGTACAATGAAGGATCGATTGAGGATTTTTTTTATATTTTTGAGTTTGTGCACAATGCTGATATACATAATTCTTCGATGTTGATGATGTGTGGTGAGTTTTTGTGTTTGGAATTCAATTTGAAAAAAAAAAATGTCGATATACATAAAAAGCTAAATTAAACAACATCCATCGATAGTTTAGAAAGAAAACTTGTTACTGAAGAATGTTCTATAGAAATGACAACAAATTGAAATGAAAAATAAAATAAAAAACCGGCCATCGTAAAGTGAACTGAAGTGATTTTTTTCGTGTGCTTTGAACATTAACATCGAAGTGATAACGAACATGTTTCGGAACTGAATTTCTGGTTGAAAACATGCGATTCACAGCAGACGCATTGCTTAATAACAAAATTGTTAGCACTTTTACTCGGCCGAGCATCGAATTTAAAAAGCATAAAATAGTATACGATTAGGATAGATTGAGTCTCTTTGACTTGAATTAGATCCTTATGGACGCTTTAATCTAAATACATTTTTGCAAAATCAAATCAATAAATGGTGATTAACTTTCTCAAACAATAGAGTTTATGTGCAGCAAAAATATTCAAACGAAAATGTGATTAGATTTTGTGCAAAATCAAAATATGTGAAAACAATTGAAGCTGATAATTGTGTGATTTAGCGCAGAAAAATTCGGATCAATAGATCTCGCATCCGATCGAGAAAAATCGAGAATTTCAGTATTTTCACTGCATTCTCGACTGTTTGTTTTTGATGGATTTTACCCGACATATTGTCAATAAACAAAACAGCTGAATTTATTTCGATGCGGGGTCTACTGATCAATAAACGGTGTATTTTTTGTACATTTCAAATGACATATAAAAACATGGCACACAATATTTCTGGTCGTTTATTATTTGCCAGACCGCATGAGAGAATGTGAACAGAAATATTTGTAAATCATGCAAAAACAAGACAAATGATCGTGTTGGACTTAGTAAAAATAAATAAATAATAAAGCACAAAGTTCAGAAAATTAAAATTAGAGTGAGTATGTATGAATCGATGCCATTCTATGAATGGAGTAATTTGTATGTTTGAATGAAGCGCTGAATGTAAAGCAAATATATAGATCTATATATAGATAAATAGAATGCACACCGAACAATCATCTTAACAGCATAATTAAACAATTAAATTTTTAAGTAGTTCATATTATTTCTACTTTTGTTTGCATGGTATTGGTTATGAGTGATATTATATCGAGAATTGTATACATATGTAGGTGTGTATGGTGTTTTTTTATTTACACAGTACCAAAATAAATTGATTCGCTCAAATGATTTGGATTTCGTTGCAGAGAAAATTAAATCCAGTTGAGCAATCGATGGGCACTTATAATTAGTTTGAATTTCGTTTGTTTTTTTGACGAAAAATCAATGGCAAAATTAGAAAATGAGAAGTGAAACCAATCAACTCACAATCAGAAAAATTATCGATTGAACGAAAAAGTCGCGAAAATGTTGAAATTTTTAATGAAAATAAAAACCTAAGAAAAAATTATCCAAAAGTTGTGAATAAAAAGAGAACGTAATCGGCCATACCTTCATCATGAGTAGTAAAGTATTGAACACAATTAACAGCATAATAAAATATTCGAACGGCGTTGAAACGACGATGCGCCAAATTTTATATTTGAAGCTATTTCGTTTACTTGGCATATATCGCTCCAATGGACGAGCACCGATCGTGAAATCGATGCAAGATTTCTATATTAGAAAAAAAGAAAAAAAATTATTGTGAGTTTCGAATGATCAAATGGGTTTGCGTGAGAAATTGACATTCGTCGTCGTCCTTATCAAAGCGTGACGATTAAAGAAATGTGTACCATTTTTGGTTCCTCGTCAATTTTTCACGCAACTTGTGGGTTTTTACCAAATTCAAAGATGATTTTGTGCATAATACCTGATTTTTGTCAATTTCACCATCCTGAAGTTCGGCTTCACCTTGTTCTTGGAATGTGATGATAATCAAGGCCACGAATATGTTTACGAAGAAAAATGGAAACACGATAAAGTAAACTATGTAGAAAATGGACATTTCGATGCGAAAATTTTGTATTGGTCCTTGATCGTCATATGTGGCAGCCATCGAATGCTGAAGAATTCTGTAAGCAAACAATTTAACGGTTAAGTTTCGTTCAAATCGGTTTTCGTTTACGTTTAAAAACAAAAATATATTTACTGAGGCCATCCTTCGCCTGTTTGAACAGCGAATAGTGTTAACATTGCCGTTGCAACGTTATTGTAGTGGAAACTTTGAGTCATCCATCGTCGTTTCTCTTCTCGTGGCAGTTCTTCTTCTTCATCGTAAACGAAAAATGAGCCCCTGATGTAAAAGAAACGAAATGGTGTTACATAATAGTTATCTCATGAGTAGATCGCATCAAAATGTATACTTACTGGCATTCTTCAGCATTTCGTTTGCTTTCGTCAGTGCAGTAGAAGAATTTTCCATTGAATAGCTGAACGCCGATTACAGCGAAGATAAATTGGAATAATATGTACACAATTAAAATATTAACAACGTTTTTTAATGAGTTGACGACACAATCAAATACTGCTTTCAGTTTCGGAACACGTTTGATTGTTTTTAGCGGTCGCAGTACACGAAGTACACGCAATGATTTGATTGTGGATAGATTTTGGCCAACACTACCACCACCACCCGACGTCATATCGAATCCAAAGCTGACGGCAGCGCAAATTACAACCACCGCATCCATTACCTTAAATATTTAAGAAAAAAAGTTCGAAAAAGTGTTGTATTATTGCGCGTATGAATTCTTACATTCCAAAATTCACGAAGATAACTGCCTGGATGCAGTATAATGCCTAAATCGATGATTTTTAATAACATTTCTATGGTAAACACGCCGGTAAATGCATAATCAAAATAGTTTAAAACTTCATTTCGGTATGAGTTCTCATCCACTGCAAACACATTAAAACAAAACAAACATAAATTAAATTCGAATTTTATACTGTGGAATGTTTTAGAAGATGTTCAAAAGTGGAATGGATTCGCCACCTGGATCTTCGGCTGCCAAGGCAATTGATGACATTGTGATAATTAACATAATGAAGAAATCAAAATATCGAAGATTTACAACCCAATGGGCGGCTCGTCGAATACTGAAAATTGAACAGAGAGAAAAAGATTTTTGTGTGAGTGCGGTTCGTTTGAGGCAGATAATAAAACTTGATATCCTTACATATTGGTGGGCGATAAGATAAACATAGATGAATACGGTAACATTGGTTTCGGTCCGTCTGTAATTTCTTCTTCCTCTTCTTTCTTTTCTTCATCTTTTTTCTTGCGATTTTTCGGTGGTGATGACAAACCTCCATCAATACGGGTGCCATCCCCTTGCAAGGCTTCCATTTCCTTTTCAAGCTCTTGTAATTGCTTCTCTTTATCCTCCTCGACTTGTTCCTCTTCAGCTGCAGTCAGTTCTTGTGCGTTCGCCAAATTATCGACAGCGATAGCCAAGAACACACTGTTATAAATACAAAGAATATGTATGTTTTTATTTGTGACTTTGGTAATTTCTATACTAGAATAAAAAAAATACTTACTTTAACAAAGTGTAGTTGCCGAAGAGCACCAAGACGATGAAGTATCTATAGATGAAAAGAATCCAATTAGTAATGTCCATTTAATGAGTCAACATAAATAGATAGATGATACGTACAAAGAATAGATCATTCCTTTTTTGTTGCCACCTTGAGATTCGATGCCATGGTACATGACTTCGTTCCAATCCTCGCCGGTGAGAATTTGGAACACTGTTAACAAAGCGATAGGAAATGTGTTGAAATTTGTTGGCGGTGTTCCGTCTTCGAAATTGAATTGACCACCAAACAGTTGCATTCCCTGTTTTTTCGGCGATAAAAGTAAGAAAGAGAACATTTTAATTATTGAATTAATAAAATTCGGCTACAGTAAACCATTTTTAAATATAGAATTTGGTTTGCTTACCAATAATGCAAAAATAAGTATGAACAAAAAGAGCAAGAACAGCAACGAGATAATCGATCTCATTGAATTCAGCAATGATATCACAAGATTTCGCAGTGACGACCAATATTTGGTGACTTTGAAAATGCGCAGCAAACGAAGTGCACGTAACACAGACAAACCGAAGGAACCACCTTTCCAGTGTGTCCAAATGATTTCGAACAATGAGCCAAAGATGACGACACAATCGAACCGATTAAATGCCGACTCAAAGTACTTTCGTGGCCCAAGTGCATACATTTTTATGCACATTTCCATCATGAACAGGGCCAAGAACACGTATTCAGAATAATCTGCAAATGATACGAAAAAAAAAGAAATCATCAATGTTAGCATGAAAGATCGAGGATTTTGTGTGAATATTTGACTTACAAAGGAAGTCGGTGAGCCATTGTGGTTGTTTGTAGTGTTCCACAGCAACGGTGACCGTATTGAAAAATACCAAAATGATGACAAACCAATAGAACCATTGTGTTTTGACGGTGTGCCTGATCCAAAAACGGAATCGCTTCTCTGCCAACCAAAAACTTTTGCAGCTGCCTTGGTTCGGTACTTTTGGTTTAAGATAGCCTGAAATCATGTAATATCAGTTTTTTTTGGCAACACAATAGAGGAGAGGATAGAGTGTGAGAGGGTGCGCATACTAAATATAATCGTGACACAAACAGAAAATCGATTTCGCATCACATGATGTGAAATGTCGACAAGAGAATATGGATCAAGTTATAAAATGCATTATTGTAGTGCTTCGGAATGCAAATCCTATAAGTGCTGGATGCTGTCAAGTGTGTCATCAAGATGTTCACTTTCCTTCTACACCGATATTTACATGATAGGGAGCGGAATCAAAATGTTCAATTTCAATGAAGCAAACGTTTGCTCATGGTGAAAAGTAATATTTTTGGTGTTTTTTTTTTTTGCATCAAAATGTCCAATTATTTCGACGTATTTTTTATATTTCAAGGGTCTATTAAAACAAAAATTCGACATAAAAATTGAAACTAATGGATTTCTAGAAGGTAAAGTAATTTAAAAAAAAACAACTACTTATTGAAATTGGCTATTGAGGTGTGAAACTGGCTGGATTGATTACACATAAAAGCGATCTATTTTTAGAATATCAATCTGAACTACAGAGTATAGCGTATTGCTTGTTCGGAGCTGACGGTGGTTATCCTTTCAAAATGACAATAATTTCTTACTCAATCTTCGTCTTGCCTTTTTTGTTTTATGCACTGTAAAAATATCAAAGTTCACTAAATGAATGACATCCAATTCAAATGTTTTTGATAAATATGTTTGGAAACTCGTTGAATCATCGTTTTATATCCATGCATCGTTTTGAAAATAAATTATTTTAGTCGAAAATCAAAATAGAACTTGTGCAAGAAAAGAAGTGACAATTCACAATGTTTATTGTTATTATCATCGAACGATCCTCACCTTCATCTCCACAATCATCATCCGCATCTTCGTCTTCGGTGTCTGTTGACTTTGATTTACCCAAATTCTTCAGCTTTTTTCGTTTGGCAGCGACACGTCGACGTGCTGTAAATCAAAACATAAACGTATTACATCAAATGTCTGTGCAGTATGCAAAGTGTGAGTGAATTTGAAAGTGTCTTACCTTCCATAATGTGCATTTTCTCCTCTTCAGTTGTTCGCTCTTCTGCCAAGATGACTTCCTCTGTTTTGTACATCAGGAATGAGAAATAAAAGTCGATTAGCATGTTGTAAAGACAAAACCATTGCAACCAGCTCAAGCACTTAAACATTTATTTAGCGATACTTGCCAGCTTTACAGATCCACTCCACGTATCCGTTTAATTCTCTCTCAAGAACAGCTTGCCTTCTAAGCTTTAAAAATTCTTGTCTATTTTCTACTTTTTCTCTTTCTTTAGCAAATTCACTACGGGAACATGGGAATTTATATTTAAAAAAAAAACAAAGTCGATTAATATCAAAACTTAGCGAACACAGATGTATCGGAGAGGATGTCTGTTTTTGTTGTTGTTGTTGTTATTGTAAATTAATTGAAAAAATCTGGACAAATTATGTTATGAAACACGGATGAGATGAAGCGGCGATATTTTACTCAAGCGATAGTTTAATCCAAAGTTTTACGCATCAAGCGATATTCGGATTGAGGTTTTTGATGAAAAAAAAAGAAAAAAACCTGCTTGAGTGATCCATTCAAGATAGGATGACATATCTTCAATAAATAATTTTCGATTACGACATTTGTAGTATTGAACACGACGATCAACTCGATTTCTTTCATTCGAAAATTCGCTATGGGCGAATCAATTAAACGCGGCAGATTGGGGTGTTCATTGTCGACGAATCAATCGATAAAATTCCAGAAATAATTTTCGTTTGAAACAGACTGTTTGATTTTAAAGCATTTAACCGAATTGTTCATATTGACTTACCCGCTGAGAACACCAAGAACCAAATTTAACATAAAAAACGATCCAAGCACAATCAACGGCACGAAGTAGATCCAATTGTACAATGCACCGAGTGCATCATTTGTCTGAAAAATTTGTTTTGTGGGACATTTTTCGCGACATTTTACATTACATTTGATGTTGGAAAACGCCACAAATAACAAAAGATTGGTGTTAGTATACATTTGACCATAAAAATGATTTGTGTTTGATGCACGTGACAACACTGACACAAACAACACGAAACTAACTCCGAAACAGTGTGATTGGGAGAGCGAGAGAGCGAAAGAGACAAAAACACACAGCGAACTATATATGACAGCGAAGAAGTGTGACACACATAGACAGCCAGAATAGTGAGAACAAACCATCATGCAAAGTGACTGGAATAACGACATCCGCTTATATCCGTGTATAAATCATATACGAGCATGATTATATTCGAAATGCAAGCAAAATAGCTTGGCACACGGAAATGAAGTCTGAATTGTCATTTCCATCATTTTGCATAGACAGTTTTAAGCACTTGCTTTTTGATTCAAGGTGAATGAAAATGATTGTGATGGATTGTTTTTTGGTGAATTATATGTATATGTGTGTGTGTATTTAGAAGCAAACGTTTGCAATTTCCCTTCATTGCTGAAAGAAAATCGCATGTCACACAAATTTTATGATTACCATCCAAATCGCGGGGATACTTTAATCCCATTTGGATTCCACTACATAACATGCACTAAATATTTTATACTGACTATATACAGTCTCATTGCGACCATTTGATAAATTGCATCAGCAACAAAATGCAATGTCATCGAAACCAACAAACACCCGTTACCAATGCAACAACATATTTATCAATTGTTCGATGAGATGTATTCGATGGCCCATTCGGCGATTATAAAAAAGATAATAACAACATTAACAAGGTTGGATAAATACGTTTGTATAAGAGGTAGAAAGTATTGAATACAACATTTAGAAAAATCACCATACGAACAAAACGGAACTAAAGAAAACATTTTTTGCTTTTAAATACGGGCCAATGTGAAACTGAAGCGATTTATGATTAATGATAACACAAATGAAAAAAAAAATATTTTTTTTTTAAAAAAAAAAAAAAAATGATTTCGGAGCATTGAAAATCAAATAAAATAAAAACAACTACACCAATCACAAAACAATAAGAATAGGCGATTTTCATCTGGTTGTTTTATATTCTCGAAGATAGACCGAAGTGAACACAACGGGGCACAAGCGTACGTGTTGAAATGTTCGAAATGCGATCTCTTCTTGCGCTTTTGAAGATTGAGGTAAATTTTAGATTTCTTACCCAATACAGTATTGCTGTCCAACCTTCCATCGTGATGCACTGAAATACCGTCAACATTGCGAATCCAATGTTGTCGAATGACGTTATGCCGTAATTGGGACCATCCCATTTTTCTAAACATGTACTAGTACTCGCATTACATGGATATGCTCCAGACGGTGATAATGTTTTATTATCAGAATTACTATAATTTTATATATTTATTAATATATAATGGTTTTTTTGTGTACCTTCAAATAAATAATATATAAAATGACTATCGACTTACCAGGGCACTTCTGCGTCCCCTTCTTTTACAATTACATCTACGGGTTTGTATATTATTTTCGTATTGGTGTATGTGTGTTATGGTTTTTTTTTGGTGTATAGTGTGTGATCGATTGTGTAAAAATTGCAAAAGAAAAATATGTTGTGAGAGTCCAATTGGTTTATAATTTGATTAATTTCATTTTTTTGACATGTTGATTGGAAACAAATATAGATAGAACAATGGACATAAAAATACTCACTTATATTCTCTAAACTATAACAACTCTTGTGCAATGCACCCGAATAGAACTCGAGCCCAATGATTGCAAATATGACAATTGCAAACAAAACCAAGAGTCCGATTTGAAGCAACGGTGCCATAGCTTTTATTATTGATCTTAAAACTACTTGTAAACCTATAATTTTGGATGTTAAATTTGAGAATTTGTTAATGAAAATATCGTTAAATACCACTTTCTTAACTCATCTAAAAATAACTAAAAAAAAAATACGAAAAAACTAAAATAAAACAATCGTACGGATAAACATCGAAAAACAACTTTTTAAGAAAGTTCTAAAGTAAAATAAAAGCTAAATAAATACGGATTATTAAGGACTAAGCATTTTTGTCCGGTCTATTGACTAGCGCCGCACTACTCACTAGGAATTCCAGATACTAATTTTAGCGGTCGAAGAACTCTTATCGCTCGTAAAGTTCTTAGATCTACTTGAGTTCCTATCGATGGAAACATTGTGATGAACCTGTGATTTGTGATGCACAATCCATGGCAAGACGCATCGAGGATTTTGTTTTTTGGTTTGATTGAACAAAAAAAAAACAACAAGAAAAGAAATCACAAATAAAGAAAAAGCTATGGTTTAGCGCTATTTTGGTAACATGGATATAAAGTGTATGTTATATATTTTGTGTATTAAAAAAAAAAAAATATTTTTTCTTCTAAAATTCGGCGATCGCATTCTAAGAGTGCGAACGCAGAAAAAATGTTCGAAGAAGGTTTTACAAATTGATTGAAAGTGATTGTCGGTGGACAGTCGATTGCATTAACATCTGGCATGTTTAAGCATTGTCTTCCATATGACAACATTCACACTAGATACTCACACAAAAGACTCCACATATTCTCTATGAGATTTTGCAATTAAATGCCCTCGTGGCGTAAATAAATAATGGCTCTCTATCTATAGACTAGCAATAAAATATGAAATCGATAATTTCCAACTACATCCCACTCTTCGATAGAAATTGCTAATTTAACGACGGACGATAAATACTGCGGCGGTAACTACGAGTTTTATACAAATTGATTATGCCTTAAGCGGCTATTTTTCATTATTCAACAATAATGGACTTCTATTTTATCAATTATGAAAAATCTAGCCAACAGAAAGTCTATACATCATATTGATGTAAAATAATCATTCTATCGATTATTAGAAAACGATAAAGTTGATTGAAAACCTTTCTTTATGCGACAACAATTCGATTTGGGATTATGGAACAGCAATATAGCAATTTAATAATTATTTTAATTAGTCTATTCACTATTCAGTTAAATGAAAACGTATAAAAAAGGAGTGAAAGCGAAATGAATGTCGTCAACAATAAATCGACTCGTATAATATCTACGTTCATAAATGAGGAATAAGTAAGTTTCTATAAAGAAAAACTTCATAAAGCAACGTTCGAAAGCTTCTGAAAAGTGATTGAAATAAGTAATTTTTCAACATCAATAACCATACTTTCAAACTCTTCGATTTCACCGCTGATCAATCTTATAAAAGCAGACATAAGTTAATTCAATTGCAATGATTTAGTCGCATTCAGGTAGTTTTCTGTACTGTCTGCCCGAATAAAGAAATTTTTTACATGAAAACTTTCGAACGCTGAATTATAAAGAATTGTTACAAGTGTTTGGGGCACTTTTTTTCTATTTGTACGACTCCATTAACGTTGTATTTGATGAAACTAGGAGAGTCACAGATGATACGTCAGCGCTTACTTGGTATCCGAGAGACGAGTTTTAATGGACGCAATACTCTGAACGAACGTAACATACGTAAATCGACATCGACATTTGCTTCGGCGAATACGGTCATTGAGCTATAATGCCATTTCATTATTTTCAATGGATTTGTGATTGTTTTTGACAACGTCGCGTCGCATTCATTTGATAAATTGAATGTTAAGTTTTTAACCAAACAATAAAATAGAGAATTATATGTCTTGAAATATGGATGTTAGGGTGGGTCAATTTGTGGGGCAGGCGAAAAAACCTACAGAGGCACATCGCGATTTTGGTTCTATGGGCCATAACAATTATTTTTGCCCAAGGAACCATAGGACTAAAATGAATTTCGAGCCGTCGGATTTTTCTATGTAGATATTTTCGACTCACATATTGCATTAAAAAGGCAACAAAACATTATTTTTTCTCTAGCCAAATGAGTACTCATTCACGACCTATAACGATTTCATTCAATTTTAGTCAAAAAATTTGTTTTTTTTTATTTACTGAATGAACAAAGCAAATTTCTTCCATATTTTACTTTATTTTTATTTTCGAAAATACAACTCAAGAGATAAAAACATATAAAATTTAAATGAAAAAAAAAAGAAACATTTTCTAATATTTCATTTTCTAAATACGTATAACGTCTTTTTTCAAAATATTAAGTTGGTAATGCTGTTTATCGACATATTGTGTTACAAATTGAATGCAGCGCCATCATACAATGACATGTGTGACAGCATGCTTTTTAATTTTCATACTGTGTTCGTTGAGCGTCATTTCAATGAAGTGTAAACAATAAATTTAGAATCTTTCTTAAAAATAATACGAAATCAAGTAAATAAGCAAAGGAATAAACTATTATTTAAGAAAAATAAAAGGTATGTTGTTGATTTTCTTACGACTGCTGTTATAATTATTCAATGAAACACGGACGATGACAGTCAATTCAGTTGCTTTAAACCACGTTTTTATTTGTAATCCGAAGTTTCGATACTTAATTTAGATCTTCTTCAGGGAAACGAAATTATGAGTGTATTTTTTGTGTCAAAAATTGTAAATAGTTGCACATAATTGCATTGTCTTCAAAGTATTGTTTGTGTACGTAGAGTCTAATAAATTAATCACTAAAGTAAAATGATAGGAAACAAGTACCCTTGTCGATTAGATCACCTGTTAGGTGCAACGTCTCTGCTTGTGTTCATTTTATATGAGAGTTTTTTTGTTTGATGCTCTTCGTGTTCGCGTCATTTTGCGTTCTTTTGTTATTGTGTTAACCATGTTTTTTTCAAGTCAAAATTCTATGTAGAATGTGATGTTTTGTTTTGTATGCGTATGTCATTTTTCAGTTTCAAATAAAGTGAAAAAATATTGTGTGAAAGAAACAATACTATCAATTGAAAAAAAAAAACGCTTTAAAATAAATTAATTTCAATTAACTTTGATTCAATATCTGTATTTCATAACATTTAGTGAAAGTCGACTATGGCCGATCCACTGCTGTCTACATCGCAAGCCGCAACAACATCAACAAGTACCGAAAGTAGTTTGAAACATATGCGTGCTCACGATGTTGCTGCTTTTGGTGTGTCTTGTGAATTGAGTGATCTCAATCTGCCAACTAAACAGGATATTTTAAGATATTATTTTTTCTTGGCCGAACGTGCCAAAATCGAAAGTAAAATGTTTTCATACAAAACATTTACTCACTACGTGACAGACAAATTGATCGAAATTTGGAGTATACTAAATATTGAAATTATACAAAAACGGAGTATTGCTAGAAAATTGAATACTTTTCTTGACAAATATAAAACCGAAAATAAACACAAAACAAAAGGCTCAACATTCGCAGCGTTCGTACAATCCACAAAAGAATTATTTTATATTGGAAAATGTCAATGTGACTTGAAAGCAGCTCTATGCTCATGTGGATGGATTCCTGACAACTTGAAAGAGTTTATGATGGATCAACATAATGAAAGAAAATCTATGATATCGGAATACGTGACAGAAATTGAAGAGTAAGTATGTCTACAATAATACAAACAAGTACCGACACCCGGGATCAAACATACGTTCCAGAAGAGGATATGGATCTTGATGATGAACACAATAGGTTTAGGTGATTCAGTAGGTGCACAAGATCTTTCTTGAATTTTTTTCATTTAAATTTTATATGTTTTTATCTCTTAAGTTGAATTTTGAAAATAAAAATAAAATAAATAAGGAAAAAATATGCTTTATTCATTCAGAGAGTAAATTTAAAAAAATCAAATTTTTTGACTTAAACTGAATGAAATCATTATAGGTCGAGAATGAGTACCCCCCCTTATTTCCAACGCTAAACAATTTTGGCTATTTTAAATGTGAGAAAGTCAAATATTCATCGATTTTCACAACAATTTCGTAAATTTTCCCCAAAAAAGGCGATAAAATCCAAAAACAATGCACGAAACCCCCGCATACACACTTGGCTAGAGAAAAAAATAATGTTTTGTTGCCTTTTTAATGCAATATCTAAGTCGATTTTGAAATATTTTGAAAAATATCTACATAGAAAAATCCGGCGGCTCGAAATTCATTTTAGACCTTGGGCAAAAATAATTGTTATGACAAACAGAACCAAAATCGCGATGTGCCTTTGATGCAAAAAAATTGACCCGCCCTAATGGATGTTGAATAAAAAAATTGCATTGTTTGTTTTTGTTTCTCTTCGAATATTAAATTGCTACTCCCAACGGTGTTGCCGTTTGAAAAGTTTGCAAATGGCTTTGGCGTTGATTAAGAATTGAATACTACACCCTATAGCCATTCAACGTAAACGATTCACTTTGGAGGTGGCAACAAAGAATCGAAATCCAAAAACAAAAAGCAAATGAAAGAAAAACGAAGTAAAATGACAAAAGCTTACCCAGTTACTACAACGAAAAAATCCATTATATTCCATATGTTCCTGAGATAGGAGTTTTTGTGCAGTAAAAAGCCTAAGGCTATGATTTTCAGCGATGCCTCCACGCAGAATATACCCAAAAAATAGACTTCAGTCGCCTCAAGAGACTTAGCTAATGTTGTTCGGTCGCCATCTGGTAAATGCTCTTCGAGCGCGAGCACTACACAATTCGCGATGATTGTCATGAGTACGGCATATTCAAACGGTGGCCATTCGATAATGAATCGTGTGTATTTTCGAATCGGATTCTCTTCTGTAAATATGAAGAGTGATGTGGGACCACCACTAATTGGTTGGTCCCCGCCACGAGACGCTGGACCACTCATTTTATCAGCTAAACGATAAGGACTCTTTTGTAATCCGTTTCGTGAAGTGTGGCCTGCTAGCGCTGCTTCCTGGGCTGCCGCTAACCTATAAACGATAAAATCAAAAACAAATACCAAATAAACAAACATGTTTAAAAAAACCCATGTGAAAATACAACACATTAATCGTTGTGACAATCTCATTAATTCGGTCGAAAGTCACTTATGGTAAACACAAATAAAATGTTGATTATTCAGTTAATTCACTCGCCAAGTGACTTGAATTGTCAAGCAATAAGGCAATAATTATCATTTATACGATCCAATGGCAATTAAATTGTTCCTACCATTAACCTTATTTAATCGATGCACAACTTTTCTTATTTTAATGTCTTTTTTTTCAATTTCTTTCTTTCCATTTCTAATGGGCCATACACAAAAACGATTTTTAAATCGATAATTGATAAGTTGATCAAGCCAATTGTTTCGCCAGAAATTAAAGGACCCTACCGAGTTAATAAATAGAACTACGCTGTTGAAATAATTTACATTTCATAGAAAAAAGATATCCGGATTATTCGTGAACATAAATTGGCTTGTGACATTTCGTTTTCATGCTCATTTTTGATTTGAACAGAAAAAAATCGGAATCGATAAAATACGTTCGCCGCATAATACATTAATATATATATGAGCCGTTTCATTCCAAATGGATAAGTGTCACAGCACGCAACACTTGTTCGTTGTGAACGGAATGCATATATCAATTGCATTTATGTGTTATGTGTGTACATAAAATGTGTGTCATATGTTTTATTTTTGCTTAAATGAAGTTCCTTCTGTCCCGTAAAATACTGCACGTCATTACGTGCGGTTACAAGCTTTCCTATTTTAAGGTGCACATGAACATCTTCTTTGGTATTGATCCCAAATGGGTTTATCATTTTTCTTTCATTTTGACGTAAATATGGTTTTGCATTCAAATGAAATAGATTCATAGTTCTCGGTGCTTCTATGAAAATTCAATGCACGAGATTTGTTCGCTTTGCCTTTTCAAGGTATGAATTAATGAATTAAAAGCGGTTTTACTGCATCGCGTGCAAATTAAACTTATCGTCCTTTAGTGTTTCTCCATTGAAATATGTAAATATACTGCTGACCGCAAAGCAAACTTTCCCTCCCTCCTCTTCTCTCTCTTTCTCTATTCATACATTTCCGATACTATACAAATGTTGAACAAAGACTGAATTGAATTATTTAAATGCGTGATGAAGCAAATAACATAAAAGTCAATGCGTATGCAATCAACAATTTCACCATCTGAATAGGGAGACGATAACTCTACAAACACTACAATTTCAACACGTATATTATTTATGTGAATTACTATGGGGTTTCATTATATCTTCATCTAATGCAATTTGTCGCCATTCGATTCTCCCAAACAATTGAGTTTGATCCATTCGAGCAACACAATAAGACAATTTGGTCTTGTAACTCTAGTGTATTGCTTAACATAAATATGATCATTTCATTGATTTTAAAAGGGGTGATTTATGCGCGGAAATATACACATTTGATTTGTTCACAATTGTTGTTAGTTTCGTGTTGATATATCTCATTTCACAACCAGGCATATTTCTTAATGTTATTCTACCACATTCGTGTGGTGTGAAAAATTACATTTTATTATTGATTTGAAGTAATAGACGTCCATTGAGTTGTCATGCTTTCAACCAGCGCTTAAAATCATGCGGTTTGGTAATTCTCATACTATCTGATTTGGGAACTATTTTATTATTTGGTGCTGCTTTGTGGAGAAAGTGGTGTAAGCGAAACGATCTGAAAATTATTTGTGTGAGAGATGTACCAACGCAAATGATTGAGGAAATATTTTGGATTAATAATGAATAAACCCATGCAAATATAGAACACACCATCGTCAAACCCATTCATTTCGTTTTATTGATTATTCGTTGGTTTGGGTTGCGATCCATGTCCTTAAATTATGCAAAAGTGCTATTAACAGCAGAATGAAAAATTTAAATTTATATGTATGGCGGTTGATAAAGTAATGATGAATAGCTCTTCATAGTTTTGGTTCAATTCCATTTGGTCTTTTCCTAGGTCTTCCCAATTAGAATAAATGCACAAGCTTCGTTAAATAAATGTGATTTTTTTTTTAAATTCAATTCAATCGCTTTTTACCACAACAATCTCTTGTTCGTTTCCGTGTGCACACGTGAACAAAGAAAATACGTAACAAAAACGGAAAAAAACTTTTTCCAAATGAGCAAATAAAGCATAAATAAATGCCATAAGTAATTGAATCTGCTGAAAAGTTTTTCGTCTTCCACCAAACGATGGTAAGAAAAACGGTGCGAGCTTTATTGTATACTATGTGCAAAAAATTGCATTTGCTCGCAACGTTTGCATGTGCCATTCAAATTGTGTGCGAGTTGTTCGTTTCCGGTTTTCGCATTTTTCGTCCCTTTTCCTCATCGCTCAAGTTGGATTGTGTAACGCATTGATACAAAACGTTGTGAATGTCACAGAGACCTGTTTTTTTGCTCATACAAATTATTATAATATATTCTCTAGAGTTTGCATTTGCGTGGCATGTCATTTGGTTGCATTCATTATTACAAGTCATATTTTCCGTGGAATAAGCATGTTCCGAGCCTTGTATTTGCATTGTGCTAAAAGTTTTTACCAATGTGTTCTTTTCTATCCAAACCATAGCTAAATCAACACGCCTACCGTAAAGAGAATATGATTGAGTTTTTTGTATTGTTGTTGAATGCATTTTGTGTATTCAATGGCAGAAGATTAACTATACTTATGTTTAAATTGCTTACATTCAAAAACCATAAGTAAATTCCACGGAATCGGAAACTTTAGTTGTTTTGTTGAGTTTCTGGAAGCCAATAAATTAAGAGGCACTGCAGCCGACACATTCACATCTTTATGTTCTCGATGTCGTTTGCACGCATTACATACATTTATGTAAATGGAAATAGTTCGTTGAGCTCATTTTTTTTGCAACTTTGTTGAAAAAACTCTTTTCATCAGGTTTTTCTGAATAATGCCCATGGGAAGTACGTACTGATTCGTATTTTTTATCATTACTACTATTTTTCTTTGGAAAATGTTCATTTCATTTTTATCGCATTGAAATGACAAAGTTGTGAAAAAGTGATGAAGAGATAACAGCAATTTCATATCAGCAAAAGAATGAAGAAGAAAAAATTCAGCTGTTTTCGAGCTTTGAAATGAATACCCCTTTTTCTACCGTTCAGAATGGTGCCATTTGTTTTCGTTCATCTGAAAGCGGTGAAGTCATTTGGAAACGGAAAATGGGTCATTCATTGCAAACTTCACTGAGGCAAACGAAATGTCTTTATGTTCTCTACTGCAAACAACAACAACAAAAACTGAAAATACTTTTTTACATATTTTTATTTCGATTACAAATTGTAACGAGTCTCAAATCACAGCCGCCACCGCAACCGTAGAATACGAAAGAGAAACAAACCAGAGTCAGAGTGTTCCTAATAAGATAATGACTATTGATTTTGGATTTTCACTTCCTGTACAAAACGCACACATAAACACTGTTTTGCTTCCATTCGACTGTCACACATATCGTACGCAGACAATTTGACATGCGCCCGTTGTCAAAAAAGTACGAGAAACTCAAGCGCTAAGTGGAAAAGAACTGTTTACTAATGACGATTTTTATTGCATTTGTCGGAACTCAATGTTGATGACGATAATATCACAAACGTATATATTTTTTCGGTTAAGCAAATCATTTAGCGGGTCATAGGCACATCATAATTTACAGAAGAAAGCGTATAACGTGGGAAGTGTTCTTATTTTGGCCACACTGCACTTTTTTTCACAGTAGCTTTGACTTCGAACCATAAATCAGAGACTGTTACTATTTGCAATTCCATAAATTCTCGCACGATTCGCGACAATCTAATGGAACATTCATAGCAAACGACTTGCTCAATAAATTAACCATTTACTTGGTTTTGTTCCCGTTTGCTCTCTCTGTCTCAATATTTACTGTATAGCCCAACAAAGTTTATATGCACGAAAAAAACGTCCAATATTTGATTGAGCGATTATGATGAAGCGCCTGGCCAAGTGGAACTTCCAATTACTAAGCATACAGCGGTCACGATACTGCTGTATGTGAGTGAGTGAGTGCGGTATTCTATTTGTCAGGTCATGTTGAGTCGCACGACTAACTGCATGGTAAAGGCTGAAGACATAGAAATTCTATTTTCAGTTCGCAACCATTCTATGGTTTTGGAACGCATGTACATGGGAACGAAGTGATGTTCTCGTGTGCCTTTAAACACAACATAATTGCTATCTAATGTACTATAATGTATCACGATGTATCACAATTCACATATGTTATAGTGAACGATGTAACCCAAAAGAAAATCAATAATCATAGGAAAAAATAACATTGTTCAGAGAACAGACAACGAGAATGTATGGATATCAGGGTTTTTTTTCAGTTTTTTTCTTTCAAACATAAAAACCTATTCGTTCGTGAAAATACATTGAAAATTATCCACCAATTTTGCTGTATAGAAAAATTCAAGGTAGCACATTGTGCGGCTACCCTCATCAGCTAATTTATTACCAATGAGCAATGAACAATTCCATTGGTTAAATTAAGATAACAACTATTAACTGCAGATTACATAATGACTTAGATACCTTTATTGTAAAATCGCTTTACAATTGGCCGGTGTGCAAAATACAAAATCGGTTGTGTAAGGGCAAGTGTTTACTTAAATATGTGCATTTTTTTCTGGACCATATTTTCCGTTCGTAAAACGAACAAAACAAATTTTATTCAATTGTTATTGGAAATCTCCCGAGAAAATTCTGGTTTCTATGAAATTGTTAGAGATTCATTATTTTTAGGAAATGGCTCTCCAACAACCATAATGAACACTAATATAATTGCAAACACTGAAGTTCTAAACAAGTTTTATCGTGAATATTGCAGTGTTGCTGCACGTTGTTCATTTTGTGTTACGTAATTTATTTGAAGATTGAATAAGGTATAATAGAGAA